AAAATCGACATGAATGACGTCACCTTTACTCGGTCGACTGATATTATGACGTCACTATAAATGTAGATTGTGACATGAAAAATCGGTATTTTCCGATTGTTGCTAGGATTTTTCCTCAGGCAAGGGAAGATACTGTACTTTCGCCGTCACGAAGGGTCTTCCCTCAAAACGTCCAAATTTTACTTAATATATTTTTTCTGGTTGTATCTCTCTCAATCCGCAACTGCCTCTATATGTATTATATGTTTTTGTGTGTCGTTTTCGTATGTACAGATGAAATTACCCAGATCAGAGACATAGATGTTGCCATGGATAATAAAATACATGGATAGGAAACTAGCTGACGTGACCTAATGTTTTCAATGGGATGATGGCGTTGCAACCTAGTTGCAAACCAAATTATCAAAAACGGCATGTTTAGCGATAATACAGCTAAACATTTTAGTCAAAGAGCAAATAAATATGACTAAGCCATTCTACGATGAAATATCTAAGTATTCCCGGTCAATTTTAGCAAATATTTCAAGCACTAAACAGTGAAAAATGCATCGCAAATTTCGTAAAAATTGGCGACGCCAATTTCGTAGCTACAAATGTTAAAAAATACAAAACAAAGACGAAAAACACTTACCTTGAATATTTGTCGTGGCTTAGGCATGTTTTTAAAACAATTAGACCAGTTTATGCTTCAATATTACTCTTTTGAAGCGGAAAATATAGCGAAACAACAAAAATGCTGAAAAATTTTCGCAATACACATGACGTCACAGATTGCAACTAGGTTTAGACTGTGACGTCAGGAAGTTTCCTATCCAGTTATTTTACAATCCATGATGTTACTATCGTTGTCATTCTTTCCAGGAACATTTGAAAACGTGTGAGTTTGTTGAAGTTCCATGTCCAAAAGGCTGCAACCAAAATGTGGAGAGAAAAGTTTTGGAGCATCATTTGAAGAAAGAATGCTCAAAAAGAACAACCACCTGCCAACATTGCAAGACTGAAGTGCAGCACAAGAATTATAAGGTACATTGTGGCGTTATTCTTGTTGTCTTGTTTACATTTTCATTGTGTTCACTTCATTGTGTTCACTTAGCGGCATCGACAAATTAAAGCCGTGTGCAAAATGGGACACATTGTTGCGCAAGCACGCGTTTCTTTGTCGTTATTCCCCGATGGTAGGCAAACCATTGTATTACCCTTGGGAACCAAACGTGTTTTGTATGTTTTTTGGAACATTTGTACTTTGTCGGAAGCAATTTTCTTACAACGATATTCTCAAGGGTGGGCAAAAAGGAACATTCCATGGGGCATTAAAGTGTTTAAACCTTTTTGCGACATGTTTATTGCTGTACAAGATGTATATTGTAAGCTAGGAAAAAACTCCTCAACCGCAGTTGGGATTGGAAGCCACAGTCACCTAAATACAAACGTTTACCAGGTCTGCAGCTAACGGAAATCTGTTTGTAAGTGTAGATAGATGCAACAGTGTCATAATTTTTGAGATTTATAAGATTTAATCATTCATTTCCAAAATTGCAATAACAACTGAATTGCTTTGGAAGTACATAGTGTGAGAATGAAATATTTGGTATATGCTATATTTGCAAGTAAAAATATACTACAACAGTATGTAATTAGATAAAAAAAGTACTGTAACAACTGAGGGTTTAATTGTTATTATGAACACGAGCAGCTGCAGGGACGAGACTGTTTGAAAAACGTTCATTTCTACCTCTGGCCACTAGCAGGAGTTTTTGTTGGGTTGTTTTTTTTTTGGGGGGGGAGGGGGAGGACTAAGGCATTCAGTTTTTGAGTGGGTAAAGATTGCAAAGTACAGTTCTACGTTCGTAAAGAGTCGTTAATTTTGCATTCGACAAACATCGTCATAGTCAACACCTGGAAAGATAATTTTGAATTTTTGAGTGCTCTCTTTTGGATTTTCTCCACCTGATCGTTGAGGTACTGGGGAAGGCTGTAAATGCCATACCTGACAAGCATATTCAACAATAGATCGCATATGTGTATAGTAAACTGAGATCAAGACGTCAGCAGATAAAGCTTTTCTCTTGAGAAGGTGCAAACCGTACAAACGTTTCGCAGCTTTCTTACAAATGTAATCAATGTGGCGATTCCATTTGAGATCGTCTGAAACCACAACGCCCAACAATTTTGCTTCAGAAACGTCTAACCTCTTGACCATGGATAGTAATGGGAGCATAAGATGGGGTGAGATTCGACAAGCAGACACGCAATTCTTTGGTCTTTGATACATTTAATTTCAAGTTGTTGACTAGAAACAACCGGTAAATGGGAGGAGGAAATTTTTGAGATTATTTCCCAATGAATAGGATGTCCACAGTTTTAATTGTTTCATCAGACACTGCGAGGTCATCATGATCAGGAATAAGAGTGGGCCAAGTTTATTTTCCTGTGCGTTTATATACTTCCACTCGGAAAAGAAGTGATCAACACGAGTTTTCTGTTGTCTGTCTATTAGGAAATTCGCAATCCAGTTGAGCAATACAGGATGAACCTCCATGTCTTTCAACCATGTCTTTCAATTTATTCAACAGAGTATTATGATCTAATCGGTCGAAGGCTTTGGAAAAGTCGAGTAGGCAGATTCGTATAACATTACCCGATTTGTCAACCGATTCATACCACTTGTGCACCAGATAGAAGTGCCATGTTAGTGCTTGGACCCTCTTACGAACCAAATTGCAAGGTGTCAATTTTATCAGATGCCAACAAGATGACTTTGAATAAAAAAAAAGATAAAAGCTATGTTAATTACAGGAAAACGTCTATCTGCAAAAATGGAGACAAAAGAATTGGACTTGCAATATGAACAAGTTTCAAGCGCGAAACTGCTTGGGTTACACATGGACGAAGAACTGACAGTTAATGAACATGTCCATGCTATTTGTAAAAAACTAGCCAAACGTATTGGAACCTTGAAACGTATAAAGGACTGCTTGCCTGTGCATCAAAGACTCCTTTATTGCAATCATGTTTTTAAGCCCATTATGATGTATTGGAGTGCTGTGTGGACAAACTGTCGAAAAGACTATCTGGATATGGTGCTTAAGTTACAAAAGAGAGCTGCGAGAGTTATTTCAGTTAGACGCTCCTTATATGTCATCGACAATCCAACTCTTTAACTGGTTGAAATGGCTCCCGTTTTATGAAGAAAGTAAAGTAAATAAAGCTTAAATGGCGAGCATAAATGGCTTAAATGCATATTAAGAGCATAAATGGCGAGACTGCTCCTTATTTACGTGAAACATTAAAATTAAATCGTGAGCAACATTGCAGAAATACAAGATACGCCGAAGTTAACTTCATCTGTCCAAAGTATAAGAGGGAAACTGAAGGTGGTAGAACTTTTAGTGTAACCACAATTAAATTTTGGAATTGTCTACCACTAAACTTAAGACGGCATTTGAATGTCCGTATTTTTAAGAATAAATATGTAGAAATTTTACATGCACACCAACAATCTCTTAGCCATTTGTAATTGTATTCATATATACCGAATCATAATTTTAAAGTAAATTTGTAAATATAGTCAGATATATACTGTATTTATAGTTTAATTTGTGTACTTGTATTATAGAATTTGTTGTATTATCGAAATTGAGGGTACAAGTTTATTAGTGCTTTTGTACTATTACGTACTACCCTCTTGAAATAAAGACTGTAACCTAATAGTTTATTAGAACTGTCTTGCAGTTATAAAAAACTGAATTAACGAGTACTTTTCAATGGATAGAAATAAGTTATAAAATAGTACATGAATATGCTTTAGAATCTAGGCTATTTACAAGAGTTAAAATTATTAGGCATTTACCAAAATAGTAAATTTAAATGAGCTTCATGTTATGCTCATTAGCAAATTCATGTATATCAGAGACTGCAAAATGAAGGAGGCTGATAGAGTTCCTAGGAATAATCTCGAGGGCTGAAGTATCATCCACGAATTTTGTACGAAAACGCCAATTAGGCAGTAAGCTGTTTGTCATGACCATAAAAAGTACTACTCCGAGTTTAGTTCCTTGTGGTATTCCTCCCTTCAGAGTTTGTCATTGGGAAAGGAAACTTCCAATTCTAACAGCCTGCCTAAAATAAAAACGCTGAGATCCAGAACAGCAAGGCAGGGTAAACCTGTAGCTTATCCAGTTCTTTTATTAAAATAGAATGATCAATTAGGTCAAAACCTTTTGAGAAGTCTGCGAAGAAGATACGAGCACCAGCTTCGCCCCTGTCCAATGCCTCATGAATTGTTTGCATCATGTAGAGAAGGGCATCTGTTATAGAGTGCCCTTTGCGGGCATATTGGCGAGGGTCGATTTTACCTTCCAAGTCCCTTAATAGTCTAGTGCAAGTAAAGCCTTCCATAACTTTTGCCATTGAAGAACTAAGCGAGATTGGGCGGATATCATTTTTAATTGTTTGAGGAGGTGATATCTTCGGAACTGGAATTACAATAGATGACTTAAGTGGAGATGGAATATTCGCTTCTTTCATTGACTGGTTGTAAATATTACGAATGACTGGGGCCAATTCAGGAGCAAACTTTTTCAGGATTTTATTCGGGATATTATCAGGGCCAATCGCCTTACTAATTTGCAGCGATGCTAATGCTTTAAACACCTCACTTTCCGTAACCAAGAATTCTTCTGGGATTTCCATAAGTGGAGTTGGTTGGCTCAGAGGGGTGAAGTGATCTAGTCGTTCACTTTATTAGCTAGGGATTCTATATCCATGTTGTTATAAAGGAACTGGTGATACCATTCCTGTCGGACAGTTTGACCAGATAGTTTTTTAATCTCTTTCCACCACTTTACAGAGTTAACTCTATTAACATCTGCTACCTTACTATGAAAGTAATTGGATTTCGCTGACTGGATCGCACGTTGACCCTTATTCCTCCAAAAATTAAAGGCTTTAGAACTTTTTCCTTGTTGGAATACGGATTGGCGTCTAGAAATCCACAGTTTTATCTTATTAGTAATCCACGGTCGATCTGTCGGATGCTTTTTAATCATCTTCTGTGGGAGAAAGGTATCAACGGGTTGGTCAAGCTCTGACATAAAGAAGTCAAATTTATCTTTACTCGAACTTGCACTTGATACCGATGACCAGATTTTTTCGGTTATCTATCGCCCAAAGGCACACCACGCAGAGTTCCGCATATCCCGGATTGCAATTTTAGTAATAGTCTGTTTAGGCGATATTGCTATATCTGGTTTTGCTAAGATCGTATAGTGGTCAGACGAACCAACCTTTGGTAATCTAGATACTTCAAACAGCTTAGGTCTATTTGTTAACAGCCAATCCAATACGGCAGAATCTCTGGTTTTAAAAGATATAAGTTGTTTAAAAGATGGTTCACCTGTGTGATATATTTCATTTTAAAACCTGTTGACGTGGGATTAAAGTCACCAGTAAGTAAGACAAGAACGTTAGGTTCCTTAAAGAGTAATGAGTCAAGGTTATTCTGTACATGGTTTCTAAGGACAACATTCTCAGGTTCTTTATTAGGTGTTGAGAATGATATATTACTCCTAGAATAATGGATGTAATTTCTCTTGGGAGTTTATGTGGTCTTAATGAAATCCAAACTGATTCTACATCAGATTGGTTACATGAATCCAGACGGTTACAATCCGGTCTGACGATTCAGCAGGATATGTTTCCAATGCAACATTTCTGTTATCCAACCGGATAATGAAAACCTCGATCCGGTGCACCTCTATTCAATGCTGTTTGTACAGGTTTTAAGGGGTTGGGTTAAATTAAGAAACTATATAAAACGAGCCATAAGAAGCACTTTATTTCTGTTTTTTTATTAAACCTAATTCAGTTCTTTTACTGTATTTCAGGATCACTTGGGAAAATGCCAAAAAGTTTCCGTTGCATGTCCAGATTGTAACAAGAAGATGCTGCGAGAAAAGGTATTTACTCTATTGTGTGCAGTATTACAGGGTGTACCGAAACAAAATGCAAAAATGTAATAGCTATATGTTTCAACTACAGTATTAATCCCTGAGTCAACGGGGCTCCGCGCCGTTCCGGGTGTAAGCCCGGGGCGAGGGTAGTAATTCCGCATGGCAATTTACCGTCGGGGAAAGGAAAGCATCAGCGAAGTCCATAGTTCATCAATAATCGTGGGCACATGGCTATGGGTTACCGTGCGTGGATGGTCATCTTTACTAATCAATTGGTCAAATTTAAAATTTACATTATAACGACTGCATGACGACAGCGAATTTGCAAACATTTCTTGAAAATATATTTCATTTTTGCAAGAATTTGGAAATTTCAAGAGCTTTTTGAGAAGAAAAAAGCCGAAACAAAGACGCCGATGTTAGTGAAAGTAAGTTTGTTTTAAATATTGATGCTTTATAATTGCTTTAAAAACTGATCGTTGCGCACAATGAAAAAATACAGCACACAATTTCAGCAAGGCAACGGTTCTGCATGCATGTATTTTCTAGTCTAAGAGATGAATTTTGACGTTAAGAATACATATTACATATGTTTTGAGGTAAAGCTTGTTTCACCCGATGGACCATTGAAATCAAATCGTGTGTAGGCCGATATATCGATATCGAAAAAAATATTGAAAAGATCGACTATATCGAATTATGCAAATTAGAAAACGTAATTTATTCATCTTATACATGTATACCGCACCACAAACAGCAAAAACAAAGCTGCATGAAACATCAAAAATGCATCAAATCCAAATAGGACTTCGTTGATTCGACATTGTCTAGAATAGTCAAATGTGCAATATGGGCGCTGAAAGGATGATGGGAATAATCATAGTTTTAAATAAGTTTAGTATATTGGTAGCTTCATGGGGATACTTTCAGCGACAGCTCCCAGTGCAAAATTAATGTAGTTTTAGAATATTTACAACTTGTCGCGTGTAGCATCACAATAAATAAATAAATTGTATCAGTTCCACGAGGCACGACGTTTCTGATGTGTTAGGCTTGTTTCAAACGTCACGTTACTCATGTGCCGAACGCATTAAAAACAGTAGATAATGAGATGAAATGCCTATATGCTAACTGTTTATTTCGTTGTGTAAACCATTAAAGCCATCAGCTTTACAAAACAGAAAGTCGTCATGCCAAAATAAAAGCTCTTGCAATTCAACATTTAATAAACGAGTTAAGAAGGGAATGACAAGGAATTGTTTATCTCGTAAAAACGTTGTTCTAATCCACATTTTTTAGTAACGTGCCTGCTCTAGCCTATGGCTGCTCTAGCCTATGCCTGCTCTTGCTGTTGTAGGTTGTCTGCGACCCTATACATGCAGTTCTTGCCGTGTCTTTTTCAATTTGAAACTTTACACTATCCTTGGATCCCTAGTTTCTTTTATTATTTGCGCAGGGGAGAGAGTTAGCCCAATTCTTAAACAGTATGTATGCCTGAGAGGTGCGTGTTTATCTAGAGCTTCCAGGTAGAGGGATTGCCATGTTCCAACATACATTAGGATTGTCGTGCAATGTTATAGATTCCCAAGGGATCTGCGAAATATCGCGTAGAAAGTCTTCAGCATTAAAATTTTTAAAATTCCGAACAAGTTTTATGTTATCTCGAGATTTTGGAAGACTAAATTTTCTTGCTACTTGAATTCGCAATTGCCTTCATAAAAATGTTTTCAATACTTTACCGGACAATAATTGCCGAAAAAAAGGAGATTAATTTGTCTAGTTAAAACTTATCGTTATGCGAAAAATGGAATAACGAATATCGATATTTTTGAAATATCGATATTTTATCGAAAATATCAATATATCGCATCAGCCTAATCATGCGTCAGTTGTGTTAAGTATTAATAGGTTCATGACCTCTTAATTTCAAGCAGCCAACATTGGTTCTGATAACTAATTTTGATCATCCTAATGTCAAAATTCGTCCCTAAAGATTACACTTTCGATTCCCACCTAAATTAGCTGTGTAAGAATCTATGTGTTTCACAATAAACCGGCGGGTGCCCCGAGGTTTACCACCGATTTCTTGGTTTAGTACTCGAAATATCAATTTTGCTCTCTTTCCGTAAGCTTTCAAACAAACTTATTTTTCCTCCGCCTGGTCTGCTTTATTACGTATAGCCTGGGGGTTTTTTTCGAAAACGACGTACTATTTCGTTACACTGATTTAGTTATTTGCCATCTTAAATCTTCAAGTTATCTCGATTATCTGTAGTTAATTTGGATGTCTTTAAGACTCCCCAGACCGTTCCCCTCCCCACAGTCGCCTACATTATTTAACAATTATTCGCCGAAGGCGAGGTGATTATCGGTGAATAAAAACTGAGACGAAGTCGAGGTTTTTATTCACGATAATCACTGAGCCTGAGGTGAATAATTGTTTTAGTATAATTTCATAGGTGATTATTTAGAAAAAAATAAAAAATACACATTTCTTCGTCATTTAACCGACAAAACGGCTTCGGCCGCCATTTTGAAAATCGCTTAGGTGATTATCGCGTAATAATCACCTTAACGGCAACCAATCAGCGTGGAGAATTTTCAATAATCACCTATGTAATTATACTAACAACACATAGTTGCATGAACCACTGAGTATTTTTATTAAATTCAAAAGAACTATAACTCAATAACATTTTGTAGCTTTAATGAATGAATCTACGTTTCTACTATATTTTAGTCATTTAAAATCTGTCCTGACGATGACTAAAATATAGTTGAAACTTACAGATTCATTAAAGCTACAAAATTTTATTCGGAGTTGCTGTTCTTTTGTATTTTATCAACACAGCTACCCACTTAGAATAACTCTGAAAGCCCTGGCAACACACAGCTATTGCATTTTTTGGGCAACTGTTTCAGTGTATTCTATATATAAAGTTTTGAATTTGATTATTTTGTTTTGTTTTCTTTTGTTTGATACTAAGTATGCATCTTCATTAGTGCAAATCACAAGGTTTTAGAAATAAATTAATAAAGTTGCGTGATTTTGTATTGTACACAATCGGTTTTGTATGTGCCTGTCTAGGAAAAATAAAGCTGCCTTGTTATTAGCGCAACTTATAAAGTGTAAAACCCCCAAGAAAGAAATCAATGAAGAAAATATAAAATTATTACTTTAATTTGTTCTAGTTAACTGCAGGTCATGAAAAGGAATGCCCTAAAGCTCAAGCTGTCTGTGAATTCAAAGCCTATGGATGCAAATGGACGGTATGTTAAATATGCTAATATCCTTGTTCCTAATTTTCTTACAAACTTAATTAGAAGTTAATAAATTTAAATTATAAAATCATATGTCTAAGTCACTACTGGCGATGTTGGACCATTCGTAAGTCTGTTGTGATTCTTGTGTTACCATAAGATCACGGTTTCTATTGTTGTTGCTGTAGGGTGTCAGACTTCAGCTCCAAAACCATCTGAAGAACGAAGTCAGCATGGCGACACATTTGTCCTTGCTTTGTAAGGCTACAACTGTGCTTCTCCCAACCAACGGGCGAGATAAGAATAAAGACGGTGCATCGAAATCTGAAGCCAGTGGAAGTGGCAGCAGTGGAAATGCTGCTGTAAGTGGAAATGTCTTGGAAGAGTTAAATCGTCAACGAAACAGAAATGCAGAAAGTATTGCAACTGTGGAAGCCAAGATTGAACAAGTAGAACGAAAAACTCGCGATCTTACAGGTGAGTGCCGTAGGTGCGATGACAATGTGAATTATAGCGCTTGGGCAAAGGTCATTCCTGGGATAAAAATTGTAAAATAACCGCGAACGATTTCTTTGTGCATGAACTTTTTGATCAACATGAATATACTCTGGCAAAGTACAAACCACAGAGTCGAAATTCCGAATGCAATAATTGTCACATCGTGACTTTAGAAAAAATGTGGTGTTAATACGTTCAAGAGTTTCTAGATTTTAGACATTTTTCTCGATGGACAAGAATGTTGAAGGGTTTTCACAGATGGAAATGCCAGAGCGATGCTAATATATGCTGTAGGGATAAATAATCAAAATTTTGAGCATCTCGAACGCAATCTACTTAATATACCTGTACATATTGTATCTGTACATAACCGAGAGCAGTTTCAAAATCCCACTGCTCGTAAATGCTAACTTTTCAGGTTGTGTTTAGCCGGTTCGTTACCTGTTGAGATTGTAGTTTACCTGAGTATACGTCCATTATCCTCTAAGTACTGTGGGTTTTGCGCGTGCTGGCTAGCGCAAGTGAAAACCATTGAAAAAGACGGGCCGACCATTTTCAGTCAATATCTAAAAGGTACATCCTAGATGCATCTAGATTGAATATCTGTCCTTTGTTTGTCTGCCATATACATTGGTCCGGCTTCACACAAAATTGAGAGGATTTTCAGGAAAGAAGGGGGTATAAAGGTATACCATTCCAGTGAAAACAAATTGTTTCTAGCTCTTTGCACACATAAGGACAACGTGAGTGAATCTCAGAAACCTGGTGTGTATCGCATTCCTTGTGAATGTGGTCTGGTTTACATTGGTGAAACTGGTCAAAATCTTTCAATACGTCTTAAGGAACATAAGACGAATTGCGAGAAGCCGGGCAAGATAAATCTGCTGTGGCTAACCATACTTGGACTTACGACCATCGTATAAAATGGGACGAAACAACCATTTTGGGGGTTGATAATCATGAGTTCTCTCGCAAAATGAGAGAATCAATTGAAATCGAGAAGCAGAATACTATAGATCAGGGGGGAGCCACTAGATAGTACGTGGCGTGCTCTCTTTAATGTGCAAAATTAATTTCTCTTGTCTTGGATGCACGCACGTTAATTAGAATCACCTCACTAGGTTTGAAATGACGTGGTTGATGTACCGTTTAATTAAATTTCAAATGACGCGAGTCGACAGATCACGACACCAAATTTGAACTTCTGAGTGATTGTCAATTCGGTTTTCGTAAATTTCACTCTACAGCTACAACATTACTGCACTGTACAAATGATTGGTATATGAATTTAGACCGCAAAATGTTTAACCTAGTAGTCTTAATTGACTTGAAAAAAGCATTTGATACTGTTGATCATCAAATATTATTGAAAAAATTAGAGCTTTATGGAATAAAAGGACAAGCTCTGTCTTTTCTAGAATCATATCTCTCAAATAGAAACCAAAAATGCAAATGCAAGGATCTGTTTCATGAGAGAAATTTTTCTCTTATATATTAAAGATTTGCCTCAATGCCCAGATAAAACAAAACCTCGGTTGTTTGCTGACGATACGAACCTGACAGTTTTTGGAGACTCTGTTACTGATTTTGAAACTGCAGTGAAAAACTAAGGAAATGGCCAATTGCCAATAAACTTAGTCTAAATGTTGCTAAGACTGAGTTTATGTTAATTGGTTCAAAACAAATGATAAAAAGTATTTCAAATTTGCAACTAAATGTGAAAATTGAAAACGAGTCAATTAAACAAGTTCATGAATCCAAAACTCTTGGAGTGACAATTGACCAGCCTTTATGTTGGAAACCTAACACTGAGAATATTTGCAAGAAAATAACATCCGGAATATCGGCTCTTAGGCGTTTAAAATAATTTGCTGATAAGCAAACACTTCTTTCTGTATATAATACTATTGTTCGCCCAAATTTTGATTACTGCTGTGAAGTATGGGATGTGTTTGGAGAAACGCAATAAAAAGAAGACTCCAAAAACTACAAAACAGAGCTGCTTGGACTATTTTGAATATGAGCAATGACATAGATCATTCTGTTGCATTGCAAGCATTGGGTTGGAAGCCACTTAAAACAGAAAGGGAGAAAAGTAAAGCAAAAGTCATGTACAAATTATTGAATAAAATGGGACCCAAATCACTCACTAATCTCTTCACATATAAGGGTGAGGTGACAAACTACAAACTTCGGAATATTTCAAGTAGCCTTTGTTTGCCACAACCGCGTACTAATAATATGAAAAAAAAGTTTCGTGTATGACGCGGAGCACACCTTTGGAATTCTATTCCTCAAGAAATAAGAGAGAGCAAATCCTTTTCTTCCTTTCGAAAGAAAATCGCAACTCACATTGATTGAAAGCTAATTGAAAACATATCTTACTTTGGTATAAAAGGGCGTGTGTATTGAACGAGTCACATATTATTAGCGGAAGATGTTATTTCGCTGGCCTCAAAGTGACAAAACGTAACCAAGCAACTGGATTACTAACACTAGCCCTATTCCAACCACCAACTCTAACCCTAATCCTAACCCCAACCCTATTCCTAACCTAACCCTACTCCAAGTTTATTTCTAAACCAATCTTGAAGAAAAAAGTTTTAACGAAATGTCATTCTGAGTTCAGCGAAATAGTATTTTCCATTATTAGCACTGATGAAGATCCGGGCTTGCGGATCGAAAGCTTTGCGGTAATAAATTTACGTGGTGTTTCCACAAACAAAATATATGTTTTAGTTATCGCTATAAATATTGTTTAAAAATATCTTACAACGCTAGCCCTATCAATTAGAAACAAACAGTTTTCCAATTTTCCATTAGCGAAATATGATCATCAATGGTCGCGGGCGTGGGTGACCGTGCGTGAGTGGTCATCCTCACTGATCTCAAAATATAGCGGACTGTCATGAATAGCGTACGCTGATTGCTCAATTTAAAATTTGCATTATAACGACTGCATGAGGACAGCGAAATTGCAAACATTTCTTGATTTGATAATTTCTTGCAAATATATTTCACTTGTCGGGAAGATTTTGTTAATTTCAAAAGCTTTTTGAGAAAAAAGGCAAAGAAGGGAGCAAAGGCGCCGACGTTATAACGAAGGTAAGTTTTAAATATTGATGTATTGTTTGCTTTATATTAGCTAATGCCGAGGCTAATGCTTTAAAAGCTGATCGTTGCGTATATTTTGAATAAAAAATGAGAGCATATAATTTCAGTGTATCTTTATTAATTAATAGCCTTTTTTATTATATTACAGTTTTAAATAAAAAAGAAAGCAAAGTTATTTGCATGCGAGAATTTGAAATCATTTTATTACAAACTCAAAGTTTATCGATAAATGCAGTTTAGTTTTAGAAAGAACATTTTAAAACGTTTTGCGACTGGTTTTTCAATTGTAGACTATAAATATTCTTAATGAAATTATCGTGTTACCATGACAACTACTTTAAATACTTTTTTCGGAAAATACAATGGTTTTGTCAACAAGGCGAGGGTTTTGCATGCATATATTTTCTAGTTAGATCTTAATAAACATAATCATTCCATTAGTTTTATAAGGAGGATGTTTTGATTTATTGTCGTTATATCAACTTAGGTCGTGTTGACAGGCAACAAAGGGAAAATGAAGGAAGTATGACTCTTTTGAAAAACACGGTGATCGAACTGGAAGCGCGTATGTGTAACGGAGTGTACTTGTGGAGAATCACTGGATACGCACGTCATCTGGAGAATGCACGTGACAATGTCGTCACAGCGTTGCACAGTCCTCCATTTTATACCAACTTTTATGGGTATAAACTTTGCCTCAGGTACGTTGATTTCTACTCCGTTCAATGCAGGAAAATGACATCTGAAAGGAAAGAATTTTACATTACAAACTTTACTTTACGAGGATTAGATTTGACGAGATTGATAAGAGTTGCACCTCTCGCCTCGTGTTTGACTGCCATATTTCATACACTGTCGTTAACTTTGAGCTGGTTGAAATTTAACCGGTGTTGTGTATTAGGTTGGCAGATAACTACAATTAGCATATATACCAGAGGTGGATAGTGCTTTTAATGCAATGTGATTGGCTGCTCAGCTTCTACTAAACCGAACTGCGCTTTCCCAAACACAAAGAAAGTGACACATTTTTGTTTTTAACAGTGTGAAGAGGTATTCTTTAAAGCCATTTTTAATGAATAGATTTACTATAAAAGTATGTATTAAATCTGTTTTGTTTACAACCATTACGGAAGCTGAAATCGAAATTGTTTTTCAAATATTTTCGTCGTTGCTTTTTGGTCATTTTTGTTTTGTTGTGGTATCCCAACACTTCGCGTTCCGGTGAATATCCTTGCACTATTCACCTGCACTTCTGCGAATAAGCTTTATTCTCACTACATACTTCAAACAATTATATTTGTACTGTTCTTCCTTTTTGGTCCAGCACTTCTATTTGCGAATACCAAATACAGGAAGACAACTTTAGCTGTTTTATATAATCAGAACTGAACCTTTTCTGCCCAGCGCAATGGGCTCTCCTGAGAATGAGGCAAAGAGGAATTCGAGAAAAGCTTGTTGCGAAGCTTGGGTAATTTTCCTCAGTTTCGGCCATCAGTTGCCGGGGATGATTAAAGTGCCACTGCGATGGAAAATTGTGCTGTCTTTTTATTGTATATTCAGAAAGTGTATCAGTAGATAAACAAAATTACCAAATATCAGCGTCCAATTCCATTTCCTTCTGCCTTTTTTGTCAACACAAACATGCAAATTTTTCGGCCGCCATTACTGAGCTATCAATTAGCGAGGTGTCGATTAATATTATCAGAGGCTTATTCTAGGCTGTTTTTTGTTCAAAATTATGTCTTCTGACGAAAGCCACAGCTCAAATTTTGCAACACAATCATCTTGCGAACTCTCTTTTGCCGAAGACGTTTCTTGTGATAGCGGGGGTGATGTAAATATGGAGAAAAGTGTGGATTTGTGCGAGGCCTATGATACTTCAGTCGAAGCTCTTGCCACTGAAGAAACATATAAATACATGAAGAATACTATAACTGAGAGAGAGCAAGAGCAGCAAACACTGTCTGCTAGATTGTCTGGGGAAACCTCAACTGACACCTGGTACGTTTTGGATTGTATCTATTTACGTTTTGGTTATATTTGTGACATAAAACAAACATGTGATGGCCATGTAAAACAAAACAAATGGTCACTGGTCTCCTTATAAAATATCATTGTCACCTCCGTTATATTGCACGAAACGTCTGCAATGAGAGATGGCTTAAAGATGACTGTGTTGCCAAATTGGAAATCCTACTCACGTAAGAAAACATATTAATTTGCACAAAGTTGTGGGAAATATATTTCAATTATATATACTTCAATTTCAATAGTATACTTTAATATATTAATGGTCCATAGGTGTAAATGTGGTAACTGTGGCTCATTGTTGTTTATGTGAACCTTGTAAGGAAAAAATGCTGGAAGAAAACATGCATGACCGCTGCTTAACTGAGCATCCAGCATTTGATATTGGGTATTTGAAACAATGGGTGTTAAAACTTGCTGGTTTAAGTTACAAAACCTGAATAAAAGGCTGCCAAATTATACCACTCTGTATACCAAAGGGAAAAAGAGTGAACCAGAGTAAGTATTTTAATGTGTAGTTCTAAGCAATACCCCCCCCCCCTGCTAATGGAAGAGATTTAGTTAATTATGAACCCCCATCCCTCTAGATTTTTCTAACTGTCACTGACAGCTTGTTTCCCCCACCCCTATGGAAATTCTGGACAGTTTTTTACTACTATCATACTTTCAAGCATGATATCAGTGTTTTATCGGCAAGATACAACATCGTTCACATAAACAAGACAGAAACCGTATCTTGGCATATGCACGGCAAGGAATGGGGTACCTTCTTGAACTGCTGGTATAGCCCCACACAAGCTTCACTACTTGCCGATATGCAACTGCCCTAAGAAATCTTTCAAAAAAATTATATATTAACATGACAGCTTTAAAATTCAGTAATCCAAAAACTATCATGTCATTTGTGAGCTGTGTTCTGCACAAAAACACCAGGATTCATAATACAAGATCCTTGTTTGGCTTACTTATAACTTAGCTATAGGCCTTTCAAGTTTTCTTGTTTACATGACGGGATATTTCAGTACCTTGCTTATCTTTACAGAGATTCAAACATTACTAAATTCAGAATATGATACTCAGATCATGACATTGTATCAGTTTGGCTGCCCCTGGCTGATGAGAATTTCTTACCACTCATCGCCAGAGTAGGGAGTGCTCTTTCTCACCCACCTACCTGGTAAGCATTAAAGAAAAACATGCAAATATGTCCGGGGCTTGCCTTTTGAGGGAATGCTTAATGCCAAAAATTACTGATACATGACTCAGTCAAATTGCATAGTTCTATACCCCCACACCCACCCTGTCACAGAAGAGATTGGAAATTCAAGAGGATGGGGGTGTCATTGCATCAAGATTTTCAGTGTAGTGGGGGTATACTAAAGTCTTGATATTTCCAGAGGGTATTCAAATACAACCAATATCAAATGCTGGTCATGCATGTTTTCTTCCAGCATTTTTTCCTTACAAGGTTCACATAAACAACAATGAGCCACAGTTACCACATTTAAGCCCTGGGCAAACTAAGAAACGTTGTGGAAACATTGCTTCCTAACAATGTTTCGCCATGTTTCCCAGAGTGGGTAAACACTAGGAAACAGTGAGAAACATAGGGAAACATCAAATGTTTCTGAATTTGCTAGGAAACATTTTTCCTTCTCGGGAAGCAAATTTTGTTTCCGCAACAATGTTTCCACAGGTGGGCAAACAGGGAAACATTTGAGGATCAAACATCAAGAATCACAAATGTTTCCACAACAATGTTTCCTAGTTTGCCCAGGGCTTTACACCTATGGACCATTAGGCCAATGAAAATTGATATCATGTTTCTCCCCCCCACATGGGTTTTATCTGCCGCACGAAAAATTTTCATTATTCATTATTTTTGAAAAATATGCTTAACAAAACACCAAATTGATCTCCAGATCAAAGTCTTATTGCTGCATTCCGCAAGCGCAACTCAAATTGTATCTTTCTAAAGACATTACTCGCCAGAATGCCTCTATTTTTCATGTCAGCCCTGGTATGCGTAGAAATATACTGTAGAGTAGGACGTATTAAATTAAAATGAGTTATACACCGATTTACTTCAGATTTTTATGGGTCAAGGAAATTATTGACAAGCAGAATTCAAATACAAAAAATAATGAAAAATGAAAAAATCCCGCTCCAAATTTTTGAAAATTGTGGACGAGAAACATTGATATCAATTTTCATTGGCCTTAATATAAGTATACTATTGAAATTGAAGTATATATAATTGAAATGTATTTCCCACAACTTTGTGCAAATTAATATGTTTTCTTCCGTGAGTAGGATTCCCAATTTGGCAACACAATCATCTTTAAGCCATCTCTCATTGCAGACGTTTTCGTCCAATATAACGGAGGTGACAATGATATTTTATAAGGAGACCAGTGACCATTTGTTTTGTTTTACATGGCCATCACATGTTTGTTTTATGTCACAAATATAACCAAAACGTAAATAGATACAATCCAAAACGTACCAGGTGTCAGTTGAGGTTTCCCCAGACAATCTAGCAGACAGTGTTTGCTGCTCTTGCTCTCTCTCAGTTATAGTACTCTTCATGTATTGTTTCTTCAGTGGCAAGAGCTTCGCCTGAAGTATCATAGGCCTCGCACAAATCCACACTTTCCTCCATATTTACATCACCCCCGCTATCACAAGAAACGTCTTCGGCAAAAGAGAGTTCGCAAGATGATTGTGTTGCAAAATTTGAGCTGTGGCTTTCGTCAGAAGACATAATTTTGAACAAAAAACAGCCTAGAATAAGCCTTTGATAATATTAGTTTCTCCTTCGGGAAAGAAGCGTGTTGAGTAAATGACGTCGCATCCGGCTAAGAAATCCACACCTCGCTAATTGATAACTCCGTAATGACGGCCGAAAAATTTGCATGTTTGCGTTGAAAAAAAAAAGCAGAAGGAAATGGAATTGGACGCTGATATTTAGTAATTTTGTTTATCTACTGATATACTTTCTGAATATACAATAAAAAGACAGCACAATTTTCCATCGCAGTGGCACTTTAATGAACTTAAGGTTGATTTACATAAACTTTAACAGATCTAGTCTTTCTAGAATCAATCCGAATGGAGTGGATACTGGATATGGTTCTCATGTGTCGTTGTTTGTTCACATGATGCAGTCAGACTGGGATGATACTCTAGAGTGGCCATTTTCCGGGAGGATTTCCTTGTCCATTCTTGATCAAAGTGATGATGGTGAATACAAACGTCATATCAGTGAAACCTTGGTAACCAGGCCTAATCTTTTGGCATTTCAGCGACCTACAACACCCCGGAATCACAAAGGTTACGGATATGTAGAATTCGCGCACATTGAAACCTTGCAAGATCGACAGTACCTGAAAAACGACTGTCTGCTTGTTCGTGTTCAAGTTTTTCAGTAAATATAGACCTTTCTTTTAAGTATGGCGTCAGCGTGCTTGTGACGTCAAACGCGGATAAACACTTCGGCTTTGATTTTCTTGTTTGTTTTGTTTTGAAAGGTTTTTCTTTTTCTTTGTTTTGTTTTGAAAGGTTTTCAATTAGTAGTAAGACGTGATGTTCTCAATGCATGTTGATAAAATTTAGTATATATTTCCCTCTTGAACGTTATCATTGTGACTGCTAAACAAAGCAGTATGGCTACGGATACGAAGACGAGAGATTGTCTCATTATTTTATTTTCGATTTTAAGTCCGTGTTTTGCGGATTTTTAAACTATTTTTTGTGTTATTAAAATTCAACAGTCATACATAAGACATACCATACTGCAAATCCTCTGAAAATTGTAATAAATTGGCTTCTAAGAAGAAAATAGTCGTCACAAACTTCGTATTATGGCTGGCTTATTTTCTTTTCAGATGGCACTTCAGGTTTGAACTTGAACACAGATTTGTTTAATTAACATCACTGATTTGAGAATACGACGAGCATCGGCCATAAATATGTTGACTTTTCTATAATAAATGTTGCATGAACAACTACCAAAATACAAAGAAAACTTTTGCTGTATAGTCCAGAGCCAGAGAACTGAAGTTTAAATCAACAGACAATATGGTCATTTTTTCTACAAGATCTATAATGGAGTGATTGAATTTTACAATATAGGCCTGTTTTATACGTCAAATTTCGGTCGCGTCGAATGCAATTCAAACAATAGATAATGAAGCTTAATGAGGTATATCATCTCATTATCTATTGTCTTAATTGCATTCGACGCGACCAAAATTCGACGTATAAAACGGGCCTAAGATTAAAATAAGATTGAATAATAAAGTAATAGTAAAATGTTATTACAACATAAATATGAATGTGAACAAATGTTTTTTTATAATGTGGTGTTTAGCTAGAGGTTTGATATAGAGGTTTGATATAGAGGTTTGATATAGAGGTTTGATTGTGGGATTTTCCTGGAGAAATAACTTTCAGAACAAAACAAACAAGAAAAACGAAGCCGAAGTGTTTATCCGCGTTTGACGTCACAAAATGCACGCTGACGCCATAAAGAAAGGTCTATTACATCGTAATACATGTTATTTAGCTGTAGGGACAGTTTCCTGTTGATTTTTGGTATGCACTTCATGAATAAACAATGCAACATATTGGAATACAAGAGATTTTGAAAAGCCGAAGATCTGTTGACTCCTTTTGGTTATCATTGACATTTTATTAAGACATTTAAACATGTTTAACAAGGTAAGTCGCAGGAGAAATTAAAGGGCTAATTCTTCCGAACTCAGTCATGACGGCGAAGAGATTGCGACGCAAATGAAACACATACCTGATATTAACGATGATATTGGTGTGAGAATAATGAAGAATTAAAATAAAAGTTCTGTGGTTTAAGAAAGATGATATTGGCAAAATACAATACTCGCTTGCAAATCTCCCACCACAATGAACAATCAATTTCATCACTGATTTCAATCTCAGAAGCAAATCAGAAATTGAAAACATTTAAGGTTTTATCAACAAATAAGAACAGAAATGGTCAGAAATTTGTATCCACGTGCAATAGTATATACCATCTTTGCAACACAATGGCATCCAGAAAAGAACTCGTTTGTGTGGACGACGTCGTGTATAAAATCGGCGTCTGGTGGAATTGATGATGGCAACATTAATACATTTATTAAAGATATAAAATTTTGCGCTTAAGATTTCCATAAAATTAGAAAGAATTGTCCCGGAAGAAAGTACTTGAAATATACTTCATCCAAAGTTCTTTCAAGTTGATTCGGAAGAGACGGAAATTGATGAAAGTGAATTTGATGGAAATGAAACTCGAATTAATAGAAAGTGAAATATTCAACCACATTTTCATGATCACATGAAAACAACGCAGAAAATGAAGACTCGGATTTACGAATCATGTCACCATATCTCCACAAGCAATGGCGGATCCAGTGCAAGCAAAAACACTTAATATTTAATATTTTGATAAAATTTCAGATTTTGATCTCAACAGTGATGTTATTGTTCTGTATTCTTGAAAACAGTGTAAAAATGTTTTGTTTCGGAAACATGCAGTTTATGATCAGCAATTTTCTAATATAGTTTTACCTTTAAAGAAAGGTGCAAAATGTATCTGATGTTATGTCATGGTCAGGCAATTTGTTTATTTGGATTATTTAGGTTGTTCTATAAGAGTTTTTATAAAGTATTTTATAATTCGAAAAATTAAGCTTCATCGACTTTTTGGCGATCAAAGTTGGCGGTTTTGCCAAAGATCTATTTCCAAATTATTTATATAGTTTAGTATATAGTTTACTGAATTGTTCATGAATCAGAAATATAAAGATGTGTCATATTTTAACAAATGTAGTTTAACAGGGGTAGCCCAGTAAAAGGATAAACACAATATAATGACAGATCTAGACATCTTGCTTGGTTGTTTAACATTTTGCAAGCAGGCAAGGCGTGGTCGCGAATTTATTCAAGGAATCAACTTTTTCATGTGTATCTATAGAGAGACTAGCACCTGAGAAGCATCGTGTTTGACGTTCGTGTACACCATAAAATTAGTTTTTCGCCCAATATCCTCGTCAATTGAATAACAGAGGCTTAAGGATATGGTTGCCAAAAATCCAATCGCAATACCGAAGAAATTCCAAAAACAATTTATACTGGATTTTAAAACGAAACTTTAATAAATCGCGTGTATCTATGTTTGATGTGTTCCCGAAATGACGTCACGCTAGCGGTGAAAGGCATTCTCGCCCCAGTTCTTTTATGCTTACACGGTAACGCGAAAAATTGCCAACTTTGAGCACGAAAAAAAATTTAACAAAAAATATGATCCTCGAATTACAAAACTCTTAGAATAACCTAAATAATCAAATTTCAGAATTCCCTGACTATGACATGGGCACTTCAAAATTGCTTATAAAACTCAGTAATTCATGAAGAAAATTCAAAAGAAATGAATGTTTAATCAATGTTTGTAAACGTAGTTTGTCGGATGATTAACTAATCACGTAGTTAACTTGCGTGGGGCGTTTTAAACACAAAATTACATAAAGTAAGCAGTGATTAACGACCGCTGACAAGCATTGTGGACTCACATTTTGCAAATAGGCGGGAATTTTATTCAAAACAGTGAAAAATACACTAGAAAACAAGGAAAAACTCGACGAAGAAGGCCATTTTTTTGAGATGTCTACATTAAACCATAGACAATCCAGAAGACAGGGACTGGAAACGCTGTGGCAAAAGCAATGATGCTGGCGCGACATCCGTGATGCGGCTAAACCACGTAGCAATTATCCGTTGCCCCGGCAACCCGCCGTAATCTGAACCAAAAAAACATAAATGTTGTTTTATATTTTTGCATGTTTTTGCTGTTTTGTATTTTTCAAATTTTGATTTTTTTATATCAGTGTAAAAAGAAAATATACGTCAAGGTATGTATGATTTAATTTGTTATTTTGACAATGAATAGTAATCAAATTTTAAGTTTTGCCAGAGCCTTTACATCAAAATGGCGCACGAAAAAATATCTGCACGAGAGTACATATCTTTCGAACCCTGGAACTAACTTGATGATAAAGCTATCACTTGTCTGCTACATCATACATTTATCATCTTAAATGCACTGTGAGAACAGGTGGGCAATTTGTCTGAGCATGTGCGAAGAAAATCAATATGGCGACATATATTAGGAGTGTTTCGTGAATTTATCTGGTTTTAAAGCTGATAAAACAACATTTTAATGAACGAAAACTTTGTAATATTTAGTGGAAAACATTAAGCTATGCATTACAAAGGTTTTAAATTGAAAATAAGTACTTTTGCTTTATTTTATTGCTTTTTATGCTTTGAAAACAGGCAAGCTCATTTTTTGGCAAAAATCTAATCTAATATTTTACCCATCATTTGTTTAATCTGAACAGAAATAGATAGAACACTTGGCTATATAAGTTACAAAGGTATTGTTAGCTTATCTGAAAGATTTCAGTATTCCTGGTACACATTTTAACAAAGAATGGAATGGAATTTCAAAAATTAAATATGCATATCACAAACAATAGTTTTTATTAGAACAGCACATAATAAGTTGTTATTTTCTATTTTTACAAAAACAAGTTTGGAAACAGGATTTAGTCCTCCAGCTTGATGTCATATTCCATTTATTTGGATAAGTCATGTGAAGTAATAATTTAATCTTGTGCAAAATTTGATACCAACACACATGTGAACAGATACTATCACCTAAAAATAAAAGAAAACAGAACTTAAATTTATCATCTAATACTATGAAAAAAATCTTAGATTCTACAGGCATATAGTGAGCACAATTCTTTAACAAACTCACTAAAATAAGTTAAGTTATACTATGATAAGAGGATGGCAATAGATAACATCAAATGTTGTCATTTTCAGTGTCCAAAAAAAGTGCCGCGCGCATTTTTCATGGTCGCATAACTGGTATTTCCACAAACCCAGGTGAAAAAGAAATTAGAAAAACCTGGTTTTGGGTGATGAGCATAGTCAAATTCTTGACTTATTCAATTTTCTATGTTTTTCCAGGTAAACAGATTAAACATTGAAATAAGCCACATTCGGGACTTCATAGAATCCAAGCTATTGTGTATGGACCAGACTTTTTTCAATTTTCTGTGATTTACATAACACTAGTTATAATTTAAGGGTCAACCAGTATTGTTCAAGACATATTATCTTTCCAAAACACCTTTTCAAAATACTAACCCAAGCATATAAAAAATAGTGTACATTTACAAGGGCAATTTCAACCCTCTGGCACATTTTTCCCATGAATGATTTCAATTCTAATAGAAAGACTATAGATAAAACTTTGATTTAAAAGCTAGTTTCCAGTGATGAGCATACCCTAATTTTTAAGCTGTACCTCAAAGATGATGGGCCATTTCAACATAAACATTGAAATATGGGTATACTGACAGCTCTGTCACACGTGTAGTTTGACATTAGCAGCCCTTTTGAAACATTTTAATGAAAGTATAATTCACAAAATTCACATTTTCACTTCTTAACATCTGTTTTAATCCAACTAGCTCTGTAGGCACGAGTGAAATTTAGTGTTGATGTAAATATCCATTTCATGTTCCCCCGGTGAAAATATAGTCTATTCCAACGCTGATTTCGACGTACTTTAGCTTTTCAGAAACCGTTGGCCTTCCTCAGTGAGATTATCAACTGTTTCACAAACTTTTTTTAATAGTAAACAGCTAAAATATTCTCTGAAAGTCTGTATTTTTGCTCTTCGACGCGAAAATGGCAACTCAAGAAGAAATGAGCCGCTATTTTTGGTCAGCGTCGACAAATTGCCCACCTGTTCACTGTGAGTGCATTTAGAGGATCAAAAAAGCTCTGCGATTCGCCAATTTGGTAAAAACGAGCCTTTTTCACGCTGCTACTTTTGCGCCAACTAGAAGATGGCCATTTCTGTTGCCCCCAATTCGAACCCTGTAACTATAGTTTAAATAAAGTTAAGGGTTTGTAATTTACATATTTTGAACAAAAATAGATCTGTGGATGCACTTATCCGGTTTTTAAACTTATATTGGGTCAAACTAAGCCAAAAACGTCCTTTCAATGCTTGCGTAATGTTTTTGACTGTAAAAAAAGTCGCCATTGTTGTTGTCAAAGTTTGTACTCACTTCGAACCCTGTAACTATAGTTTAAATAAAGTTCAGGGTTTGTAATTTACATATTTTGAACAAAAATAGACATGTGGATGCACTTATCCAGCTTTTAAACTTATATTGGGTCAAACAAAGCCAAAAACGTCCTTTAAATGCTTGCGTAATATTTTTGACTGTAAAAAAGTCGCCATTGGCCGGCATTCTTGTCGGCATTATTGAAAGTTCAGAGTATTACTGTACTTTTGAACAAAAGACTGAAAAGCTATCGAAAAGGTAACTTCAACAATTTATAACGTAAATGCAGTCGAGCATAACTGAAGAAATATACGTAAACTTAATTAAAGAAAACTAAAATACGCAAACAAACGTGAATCGTGCCTGCAGAAAGTCCACCCCAAATTGGAAATCAAAATTTTCGAACAAGCTCGAAAATTCTTTGCACTCGTCTCTGGATAAGCAGATCCGTTTTATAAACTTGTGATATACCTCAGTACCTCCCTTTTCGGTGTAGACTATTTAAACAATCTTCCAGTATAAAGAGCTGTTTAAAAACAGCGGACAATACATCAATATTTATACAGTAATCGTTTATTCGTTTTGGAAGCAAGCGCATCACGGATGGCACGCGCAAACTGACATTAGGCGTTTCCAGTCCCTGTCTTCTGGATTGTCTATGGTTAAACCAAAGTGTAACTGTTTGGCAATTATATATATTCATGTTTGTTCGTGTAATGGGCCCTACGTCGTCTTCGAAAAATCTTCCCGTGCAAAAGTATATTTTATTTTCGCCGAAAAACCAAAGCGATAGCGTTTGAAGAGTTTATATTGTCAGAAAACATTCACAGGGAAGATAGCGATTGAAAATCCCAAGTAAGCATTACTTTGCATTGTTGTTTTACTGAAAAATGTTGTTCCCTCCTATACAATCGCCATTTTTAACTACGTTTTGAGAAGTTAACGATACCCTAAAGCATCGTTAACTTTAACTACGTTTTAACTACAGAGTACAGTTAACGCTAACTACTTTTTTTATACAACCGAGTTAACTACGTGATTAAAGTTAACCACTATTTAACTACAAAATAGTGATTAAAACAGTGATTAAGAGTTTTATACAACCGGCCCCTGTTATATATCTATCTATATTATTATCTGTTAGACTTTTAGCTACAGTATTTATCTATTGCATATCATTGTCCCGCACCTATTGTTTAACATGCTTTTATATATTAATTAATTATAACACAACATCGCGTTCTTCGATATATAAAGAATATAAAATTTAAAACTGCTTATTTAAGGGCCTGTTCATATGGGGAAAAGTTATCCCGGTTAGCGAGAAAACATTTCGACAAGTCTAAAAGCGAGATCTCGCCTTGTTGTGAAAATAATATGAAAAGTTACACTGCGTTCATATGAGACGAAACGTTTTCCCGTGTACCGAGATCTCGCTTGTTGACAGGCGAGATTTCGGTGACCGGGATAATGTTTTTCCCATATGAACACAACATAGCCACAACTTTCCCGCTTAGTGGGAAACCTTTTTGTCGTGTCAGCAACTTTTCTGTTTTTAACTTTTCCCGCCTTGCGCGTCACACCAGTGCTACGTCACAGCCAAAAACTTTACCCGGTAAGCAGGATAACGTTACTGCATATGAACAGAATAAAATTATTTGACTAGTGGAATTGTTTTTTCGCAAACCGGGATAACTTTTCCCCATATGAACAGGTCGTAAGTCTGTACTTTTTGAGGACACCAAAAGTAGTTTTGAGGACTCAAAAATATCTATTGTGTACTTTTAATTTGGCAATAAAATATAATCTTGTATCGGCAATAAAATATAATCTTGTGTCTTATTAATTACTTCTATTTGGTCTATTTATTACTTCTATTTAGCAAAATCATGTGTTTTACAAGTGTCATAAGAAATTTCCTTTTACAGACCGGACGCGATTCGGCAACGCGACGCGAATTTTCAGTTTTCAAAAACAAATAAAACCGTCAACGAATAAAAATTTTACAAGATATGCGGACCATATAGCTAAAATTGCTTAAGTGGTTCCGAATATTTGAAAAACATTGAAAAGTGTTAAAGTTAAATGTCATTGAAAACTGAAAAGTCGCGTCGCGTTGCCAAATCGCGTCCGGTCTGTATGGGCCTTAAGCTTCAGACGTTCTGTTGTAGCGACCAAACTTTCATTTTTAGCGAGCACAACCGAGCGTTGAAAGTGGCTGACATACGATTTGATGTTTCTGACGAAGAGCACGAAATAGAAAACAATAAGAAAGAATTAATCCCACTTTTATTTTTACAATGGTTCAATTACGAGGAAATTTGACAGTTCCTTTCTGAAATTACAATAAAGGTTGTTTACATGGGTTGGATCTAGCGTGAGAATGAGAATACCAAGGTGGAAGTACCAAGTATTCGTGATCCGTATAATTGATCGATGTTTCGTGTAATTGATCCGGAAGGACTATCTGAGAGGAGAAGGCATTAGCTACAGTACCGCTCAGAATTAACCTAACAAAAACCGCGGTTTAACCTCGGTTGAACCTCGGTTTGACCGCGGTGTGACCGCGGTGATTTAAAGGTTTGACCGAGGTTATACCGCGGTAATTTTGAGGTTAAACCGCGGTGACCGTGAGGTTTAACCGAGGTTTGAACGCCACCGAACCGAACCGATCCGCAAGCTTCGTATATACTCGTAATAGCATTCGTAAATATTCGTGTATTTCCGAAGGGGTCATTATAAAAATTTCGTATGTGCTTTATAAATATTGACATATTTTTTAAACATTGAGGCATGGGGAGGCTGTCGCTTTATGCCAGGGAGCGAATTGTCTATACTTTCGACAAATACTTCAGTTGTTGGAATAACTAAGAGTTTAAACGAATGGTAAAGGCAAATATGTAGGTCTCTTCTTGTTTATTACAGTTTAAATAGATGTTTTAGAATAAGTAAGAATTTGTCGTGCGCATCAACTTAAATTAACTTAACTCTTTAATATACACAATATACTGTCGCGAGTAAGAGTACATCCACTCGCGCGTAGCGAGTACTCGTTCTGACTCGCTACTCGCGAGTACTTGCATTTCAGACAATTTGTACAAATATGAAGCGAATAATTCAGCTAAATGAAATAAAACTCCATAGTTATATGAAACATAGTATGATAGATATTAACGTGTTTATAAACGACTGCCACATGGTGGGAAATATTTTCTTCGAACACAGTTCGTAAATGGTCGGACAGTCTTAGAAGCGTTAGCTATAACTGAGTCTATATCAATCAAAACAAAGCTTTAAAAGCGAAACCGCAATCAAAAATGTAAAAATGACACCAAAATACGAATGATTGGACGAACAAATGCCATATTTAAATTTGGGACTATATATTCAAATATGGTCCGGTTGTAAGAATTGGCATTGAGTTCACTGACGCTGTTTAACAATATAAATATCGAGTACTCGTCGACGTTGTCTTGTAGTTGCAGTAAGATTCGAGAATCAAATTAGGAGTAAAAACGTAATACTGTAAAGTGCAAAGTGACAAAATATAACTTACATTGTATATACTGCTAGCATCTGTCTTGAATCGGGAACCATTACAAACTCGCAGTTTCTCGCTCGTTATAGTCAAGCGACTTGATGCGCTGAATCCAATTGAAGATAATATCCATTGAACCCCATGGAACAACGTAACACGAACATACTTTATTTAAAGCAATTATACTAGTATCATATAATCGACAAATCCTGCCTATACTAATACAAGTATAGATTGTTTTGGCAGATCTCATGCATGTATGGTCATTATGATATTAAAGAAAGACATCAGCCATGAAATATTTGCGGAGGCGTGGTGTGCTTTGTTTGTGTTAGATCTGTGAATTGAAATATTTTAGAGTCTATAGTGGTCTGAATGTTTTTGGCACGTGTCAGAAAAATTTCAGCTGATCATGTTTGGTTTTTTCCCCCGTTAACTTGCGTTTCGTGCGGGTTTGAGCTGAGGACAAATTTACGCCCATATGCCGCGGTTTCTAAAAAAAAACATCTATTATAATTTGTGTTCAACGAATATATCAATGTTGCTTGAACTGTGTCAGGCCGAATTTTTCCCGAAACTCAAAAGGCAAAAGTCTATTTAAAAATTGTGCCAATTTGTAACCGCGTAATATTAGGAACTTTTTATCATGATGCGCATGAAAATATGTGTTGTTGGTTTTGACAGCTTATAAGTATAAAACTACAAATACAAATATATTAATTTTTCAAATAACTGCTTTATCTTGTCAAATTTTCTCAGCTATAGCCTGGCTAGCTATACTGTATAGTATTGAAGAATATGCCAAAATTTGATTTCTTCTACACGGTCAACAACTGCATGGTTATGTGAGCATTTTTTTCTTCAAAATTGGCACTCACACAGACAGTTCTAGAGTTCAAGCTCAAACCCGCACGAAACGCAAGTTAACGGGGAAAAAACCAAACATGATCAGCTGAAATTTATCTGACACGTGCCAAAAACATTCAGACCACTATAGACTCTAAAATATTTCAATTCACAGATCTAACACAAACAAAGCACACTACGCCTCCGCAAATATTTCATGGCTGATGTCTTTCTTTAATATCATAATGACCATACATGCATGAGATCTGCCAAAACAATCTATACTTGTATTAGTATAGGCAGGATTTGTCGATTATATGATACTAGTATAATTGAATTTTTTTGCTTTAAATAAAGTATGTTCGTGTTTCGTTGTTCCATGGGGTTCAATCGATATTATCTTCAATTGGATTCAGCGCATCAAGTCGCCTGACGGCTATAACGAGCGAGAAACTGTGAGTTTGTAATGGTTCCCGATTCAAGACAGATGCTAGCAGTATATACAATGTAAGTTATATTTTGTCACTTTGCACTTTACAGTATTACGTTTTTACTCCTAATTTGATTCTCGAATCTTACTGCAACTACAAGACAACGTCGACGAGTACTCGATATTTATAGTGTTAAACAGCGTCAGTGAACTCAATGCCAATTCTTACAACCGGACCATATTTGAATATATAGTCCCAAATTTAAATATGGCATTTGTTCGTCCAATCATTCGCATTTTGGTGTCATTTTTACATTTTTGATTGCGGTTTCGCTTTTAAAGCTTTGTTTTGATTGATATAGACTCAGTTATAGTTAACGCTTCTAAGACTGTCCGTCCATTTACGAACTGTGTTCGAAGAAAATATTTCCCACCATATAGCAGTCGTTTATAAACACGTTAATATCTATCATACTAGGTTTCATATAACTATGGAGTTTTATTTCATTTAGCTGAATTATTCGCTTCATATTTGTACAAATTGTCTGAGCCTTTTGACTCGCAAGCACTCGCAAGTTGCGAGTGGCGAGTGCTTGCAAGTGAGATGAAATGCGAGTACTTGCGAGTAGCGAGTGGAGGTACCCTTACTCGCGACAGGTACTGTAATAAAGGCTAAAGGTTATAACGCGTGTACCTAAAAGGTAAATAAAATCTCGGCCTGTTAGGCACACACGCGTTATAACCTGGAGCCTTCATTTTAAAACTTTATTATAATTGACAATCTAGCCTTTATTATAAAACTTTATTATAATCGACGATCTGCTGTAGCCCTTATTATATAATTGAAGCTGACACCACAGCCTTTAAGCTTTCTCTTAGCTGTTATATTATAGCCCGAGTTAGCAGTTTATTAGTGAAGACATTCTATACCGCGAATATTTTACTGCTTTTGCTCGGAAAACCTCGGAATCAGAATGCATATTAAAACCGCGGTTAGCTTTTTGCCGATGCGTGGGCTAAACCGCAAAAAAACCGCCCGATAACCGCCCGATAACCGCACGTTAACCGCACGTTGACCGCACGTTAACCGCCCGATAACCGCACGTTAACCGCAGGCTAACCGCAAAACGACCGCAACCGCAGTGTTAGGTTAATTCTGAGCGGTACTGTAAGAACGATTTATCACAACCCAAGTAACATTGGTAAATGTTGCGCTGCATGCAACGATTACCCCACTCATCTTGTTGCCGATTTATGGACAGAAAATGGTATGATACCAGTTATACACTCGTATACACTACGGTATTCGCCATCAATGCATGGGGGTATGCCAAACCTATTCTAAGTGCAATCATGCGCGACATCACACATAAGAAGTCATGGCCAGAGCTCAAGAACCCAACGATGTGAATATTGTTTTGCCAGCTGATGGCTCTTCGCGCTCTCTAACAGATCCCAGTCACCAGGTCAAGCTCCGCCGATCCAGTTTGTTCTTGGTGGTCAATTCTTTGACCTTTGTCTTTGAGTTGATTTACGAGATTTGTGTTCGCTGTTCATAGTTCAGAAAAATGGTTTATAACACTTTGCAGGGCATGAATTTCGACTCGAGGTCGGTTTGAGCTGGTTTCCATAGCAGCATATACGCGAGAGTTTACGAGACAGACGATGTGAATTTCGCTTGTATAATATGTTTGATTCTGGCGCAAATTACAAACACAAATGAGTTTTTCACGGGTGTTCAGCCCACCATTTCGTGGCCAGTGACTATATTGCTGTTGGACAATGCCAATGGTCGCATTTCCCCCTATTGTCTGGAGCTTTATTTGTTTACGCAAAGCATGGACCTCAAATTTAGTTTTTACGCTGCATTCTGCTTTTGCGATCATTTTAGTTTAGTTGTTTCGTTATGTCTCATCTCACAAGAATTAAAGTTTATTTCTTAAGGTTTACACACGTTTAAAGTTTCCTTTAGTGCTTTACTTGTCTCACACTTACGGTATAATTTATGCAAGTTCTTGCAGCGATTCAGTTTTATTGGGGATATGATTCGCTGTAAACTTAACGGCTATTAGTCATCATTATAACGCATTTTCAAACAAAGATACTGAATGTTAACTCGGTGGATGCCGAGGACATAATTTTCTTAATACATATAGTATATGCAGTGTTTTGACTGAGATCATGCAAGATTCGGTAGTGGCTGAGAAGTAACGTTTTGACTATAGAATTTTGCCTGTGAAACGTTTTGAATGTGAAATTATGACTCGGTTATTGGCTGAAAAGCAGTAGAATTTTCAATGTGAAGTCGTGACTCGGTAGTGGCCAAGAAGTAAAATTTTGGTTGTGAATTCATGACTCGGGAGAGGCCTAGAACATTGTGATTGTGGCCGCGAAATATTTTTTGAATGTGAAATTAACTCATGACTCGGTAAAAACCGAGAAGTAAATTTTTGAATATGCAATCATTACTAGTTTTTTTTTGGTTTTCTGCTATTTAATTTACTCCAATAATTAATTCTACTTGTTTTCGCTCCACTGTTGTCGGGTGCGGGTGTCTGATGCCTTTTATGCCATTAGGGCTGCCTGGGACCGGCAATAGTGTGGGCGAGCAGGTGTTAGGAGTTATTTCTCATTTTTGTTTCTATTTTCCATGGACATCCATGAGTCCAAAAAAAACCATTTTCTGTCATTTTGCAGTCAACGTCACCCGCGACCTGTTAAACGGTGCGATTGGAAAGACTCGCCCACTACTATTGTCGGTCCTAGGCCCTCTCCGGGTATGGTTTCAACGTATCAAGTCGTAGCCAAACCACAGGATACAATATTTTTTTTGCCAATCGTCCTCATTCATTCCCGGGGAACTCCTGAAGCATTACCATAAATGGCGGCCGATTGCTTCTGACGGAGAGGCAGATTCGATCTTATTTTTTATTAGCAACGGGGTTGAATCCGGAAGGCAGAAGTTTCACTTATTTGTCAGCGAGTTGGGAACGCCATAAGTGGAACTGCTACCCGACCAATCTCACCCAAGACTCCCGCCGTCACCCCAGTTCAGCATCTTAAGTTTTGTCGTACATTGTACAAATACAAGCATTGCAGCTTGACTTGGCAGCAGGTTTTTTTCCGTAAGCCCGTTGACCTCCGCAGCTCAAGCGAGGCTTGTAACATTTATGAAGTTATTGGGTGTATACACTAATGAGACGATTCACGGATTCAGAGGTGGTATTGGCCGTATTGCTATTCTACTGAGCCTTAGTGCATCCAAAGATGAAATCGCCAACCATGTCGGATGGTCACACAGATGGTATTCTACCCATGACAGGGCGACTCCAGCTGAAGATTTGGGTATACAATTCCCGAACTGTAACAATTTAATTTACTTTGAACCTTTCAATTCGCCATCTAGTTTAGTTTTGGGTGAATTGGGTCCTGATATAAGTTTCAGGATATAGGTGGGGATTTAGTTTCGGGAAGTAATTAGGAGAGGATGTGCAGTAGCCTGGGGTTATCCCCGAGCCAGCGGGGCGGGAGCGCTGTTCCTGGCGTTAGCCCGGGGCGAGGGTACTCATTCCGCCCGGCTATTTACACCCGTGGAAAGGGAAGCATTAGCGAAGTCTAAAGTTCATCAATGATCAAGGGCGTGGGTGACTAACCGTGGGTGGTCATCCTCACTGATCTGAAAAATATGGCTGTTTGCCAAGAGTTGGATAAGCAGATTTCAGTTTTCAAAAGCATATATTTGGAAAATCACGTTTAACACAATAAGCTTTGAAGCAATTTTTGTTTGAAGAAATGAGAAGAATTGATAAACTGTGGTAAATCGTGAAATATAGGGCAAGTTTGCTTTGAATGTTTAATGTTAATGAATTTTGTTGCTTTCATTTATTGCGTAAAACATGCATTGCTTTCCTTTTCAATGAAGCTGTACTGAAAGGTTGCTAAATTACCCTGTTTAATTTAAGAAAAAAAGTTAAAATGTAAAGGAGAGCAAATTAATTTGAAAGCCTGAACTGAAGTTACTCAATTTGAACTTATTTTTGTTTTATTAAGTAAAAACAGTTTATCGGAAAAAGAAGTTTATAGTTATTGAAATGAATATTTCGAAACATTTTACCAGGCGACTCAGGTTAAATTTTACATTAAATCGAAGCTTACAAAATGCAGAACAACATACCTACAGTTATACATCTTTCGGAAATTCATTGTTATGTAGTTAAAAGCAATAATCTTTCAACTATTTTTGACGTGTTGTACAAAAAATTTAATAAAAATTTAAAATCATGTTGCCATGGCAATATTGACGTAAACGCGAGCCTGTATTCACTGTTGATTAATGTTCATTTCATGTTGGATTAATTAAGAAATAGCAAACGAGTCGCGTGCGTTTATAGTGTGATAATGCACGCGGGGAATGTTGGAAGAATACGAGAGAAGCGTGTAAAACACAAGGCGTAGCCGAGTGTTTTACACGCTTCTCGAGTATTCTCCCGACATTCCCCGAGTGCATTATCGCACTATAAACGCACGAAAGGAGTTTTTCTATTTCTTCTATAATATAAGTAGAAGATATTACATAGTAAACAATTTTACTCAAAAGGTCGACGTTGAAATTCTCCTAACATGCACTCAGTGACGTCACGTGCATGCTTTTACTGTCGCTTGAATTTTTAGTGTGCGAAAGAGCAAAATTGCCAAAATAATATACCAACTTTTGATGCTACTAAGCCGGAAAAACTGTTTAAAATAGTGGAAATAAAAAAACAGTTATACACAGACTAATTTGCCAAAGCTTTTCAGTATCTGGATTTGCCATGAAAGACGGTAAATCGTACAGTAGGTTTCGTTATTATTGTATTTTTGCCGAAATATATCTAGGCAGTTGTTATCAGAAGAATTGAAGGTACTTTGTAAATCACTTATATTCAATTTTTGTTGTCTTTTTGTATGTATTTGGTATTCCTGTGTCTTTTTCAAGTTGTTTTTTCTCTGCTATTTTGCATTCTTTTACCCAAAACTTGTCGAGACAACAACAAATTCGACGAATGCCAAGCCGGTTAATTTTACACGTATAGAACCATAGAAAATTTCTTTGTTCCTTTGGTCTATTCCTTCTTGCTTTCTGGTAAATTTTGTAGTTTAAAAGCTCTTAAATTTTTGTTTATGTTTTTAGCTAAAAAGCAGTGATGAAGAGGGAAAAAACAGAGAAAGAGCAATTCAGTGCCACAGATCACAGTGCATTATTGCGTCACAATGCACGCGCATTAGCCAATCAAATCGTCTGTTGTATCACATTTATATTATAATTGTTTTTATATTCTCATGAACATGTCCGCAAATTGTGAATTTTGCTTTTTAAACTTAAAAATTCAAGGTACTTTTAAGAGTCTGCATATGCAAGGACTGAATGCGTATAGTTTTGTTCTCTGCGATTTACTTTCCACAATTGGAATTAAAGTGCGTCAAGAAAATACGCTACAGTCATTTGTTTCATCATCAAACGAGGGATCCAAGCAAACGGCTTGAATGCCAAGCTTTCTCAAGGTCTCAACTTTGCTGGACGTGGATAATTATACTCTAACGGGCTAACAACAGCAACAACTAAATTCTTTATCGTACCATGACAAAGGCGATGTAGCTCAGAAAACAACGCCGATAGGACCTGATAAATAAGACTTTTGCCGAAACCAGTTGGACGTTGGCAGAACAGCAAAGACATCTTGGGCCTTGCCACCTTGGCTGTCCACAACAAGCTTTCGAATACATGACAATATAAAAAAAATGCTTAAGTCGACAGGTATATTTGGGTTCACATTTATACAAGAATTTTACTTATTTTTTTATCACAGCATAATTTTGGCAGATAGTGACCAGCACAAGGCCGTTACAATATCATATTTCACACTAGGCTGTTTTCGCGTCCCCAAAGCTAACTAAAGGCCTGATTCCACGAGGCATTTTTCGACCGAAAAGAAATTTCTTTTTGTCTTTTTACAATTAGTTCTGCTCGAGAGCTCATGAAACAAAGGGAAATTTCGATTCGGTCGAAAAATTTCGCCCAGTGGAAAACCGCCTTAAAGCCGGTTTTCCACTAGCGAATTTTTTCGCGCGAAAATAATTTTTATGGATATGTAGACTATAGCAAGCGGCAGTTTTAAATACACGAATAAAAACAAGAAAAGGCAACATAAACGAAGGAACTTCGGTAGGTACGTGAAATTTATAATATTTTTAGGCCCTCGTTTTCACTGCTTTTTTTAACCAAATCAGCATAACTCGGGAGATGGATAATGCTCTTCACGCAATTTGATTGGTTGCTCAGCTTCGGATATTTTTGCACTATTCACAAAATGGTTTCCCGTTTTTTTCAGTTACAGACGAGCAAATTTTTGTACTAAAACGAACCTGAAGTTTCGCCAAACACAAAAGAAAGCCACAAAGCTTTCATGTTTTTAACAGATATTAAAGAGATATTCTTTAATTAAAGCTATTTTTGATGAATATAGATTTACAAAAAACGTGTAAATCTGTTCAGTCTGCTTACAACTACGGAAGCGGAAGTCCAAATTGTTTTTTGAAATATTTTCGTGGTTGCTTTCTGGTCATTTTTGTTTTGTTGTAGTATTTGGAATAGCTTACCATCACATATTATAAACATGTCCTCGATAGATGGCTTTAAGGCAGCTGTTAATGATTATGTCTAAGTTTTTAGTAGTACTTTATATAATTATTATTACTATTATTTTATCAGGGCCTTTTTTAGCCCCTCCCCCCCATAAACGGAATGTAGTAGGATTTTAGGGAGGTACAACCTGCGAGCAGGTAGAGAGCACATGGACTCTCAATGGCCACTAGTTTATAGGATAATGTCGTAGAAGAAAAACCATATTTGATTCGTGTTTTCGTTCATGTAATGTTTATATTGTTGTTTGATATTAAAGTATATGTTTATATACACTGACTACTACAATTGGTGGAGGATGCAAATCGTTTTAACAGAATTTTAGAGGATTTTTTACATCGTTTGTAACAAGAACTAAATACAGTATGACGACAGTTGAGGAACTCACAGGGATCGTTAAAGGACTAGCTGACGTGGTAAAATCCCAGCTAACAAACCAACATGATGCCCAAGAAGCAAATCGACAACACATCGAAGCACTCGCGAAAACTGTCGCAGATTTAGCCACAAATTCCCCAAGTTCAAGCCATGTTGACACTTTGAAGTTGCCTCAAGTGGTTTTACCTCGCTATACAGGTAAGCCTGACGAACAACTTGACCGTTTTCTTGACCAGCTTACGACGCTATTAAAATCCTCTGGAGTTCCAGCTAAACATTGGACAACCTATCTTAAGCAACAGGTGCAGCAAGATTTACGTGCTTATGATTCTGTTGTGTTTGCTGAAGAAGAATGTAAACATGCTCTTGGAGAGGACCCTGCCAATATTACTATCGAACAGTATGAAACGTACTTTAACCTTGTCAAAGCATCAGTTAAGAAACGTGGAAAACCTAAAGATGAACGTATACGTGAATTACTTCAAGTCTACTACAACCTCCAACAAAGTACAGCAGAACCTGTTTCAACTTTTGCACACCGATTCTGTGACATTCAACACGAACTCGAGAAATGTATTCCTGGAATACACTATACAGGCACGAATGATGATATCGAACTGAGACATGCATTTTTGATAAAACTTCGACCGGAAATTGGAAAAGCTCTGATGAGCCGAGACGCCAAGTATTCTTCTCTATCGGAAGTTATTGAAGCTGCTAACAGATTTGAACAAAGTTTTCCCCCATTACCTCTCCTTTCAGCAGAATATGTTGACCCATTTCGTGAAGACAAAGCTATGTTAAAACCCAAATCCTGTTACAACTGTAATCAACCTGGTCATTTCAAAAGAAACTGTCCTGCTTTGTACAATCCTGGGACAAACCAAGAACGGAAACAAACATTTCGTGGAAATACTACCAGTCAAACCGAAGTGTGCCTCCAGTGGAATCAACGAGCTGTTCCTCGCTGCTTACTTCCTGATAATCAATGCAAGTTTCATCGACAACATGTGTGTCTGGTTTGCAAAAAGAAGGGATGTAAACAACTGTTGCACAAAGAAGATAAGTTGCCTACACAAAGTCAACTGGAAGAAAAGCTATCAAGTAAGTTTCAGGCACAATTTGATAGTCTGCTCTAAATTGGAAACTGTACTTCCAAATCCAAAACCCCCTACCCCACCCACCACCCCTGCTGACAATAACCCACCAGCCAGTGATTATCCCCTATTTGGCATGCCATCCGTTGCAGCTGATTCTGTTGAAATTCCTGACTTGAGCAAGAAGTATATAATGTGGGCGAAAGTAAAATCAGCCGGTGTTGAACTTTCGCTGCCTCTTGATAGTTGTTGCTCAGTGTCGCTTTGTAGTTTGATCCATGCTGAACGTGTCCAACAAATGCATCCAGACTTGAAAATGACTAAGCTTACCAAGCCAGTTGCAATTAATGTTGCTAATGAAGATGCTGTTTTACAAGGGATTGCCCTACAAGATATTCCTATTACCTGGGGCCCTGGGAAATCTTCAGTACATACCATGTTGGTTGTACCCAAGTTAGCTTGGCATGTTTTGTTTGGTAACAATCATTTGGAAGCCACAGATGCAATTGTTAAACACCAAGAACGAATTGTAAGTTTTACACATCCCCAAATGAAGTTTGCTATAAAGTGCCCACGGGAACCTCCTGTCCGTCCTTCTGGAAGAGTCGAAACCAATGTCGTATCCTTGAGTACAGTAGTAGAAACCCCTCAAAAACTATCACCTGGGATTAACATCAAAGTCTGTGTAATTGTTGCTACTATTGGCAGTATGATCCTTTCACCTGCCTTGTCTAGTATGATAGCCGACACAATACAGTCATTGGGTAATCGAAGTTGGATTGAAGCTAGCCCTCTTTTTACCACCACATATGCACATGTTATTCCTGGTCCGATTAACCTTGATCAAATACAGCACGAGACTAATGCATTTAAGACCACTTTTGTCAATGTTAAATGCAGTAGTAGCAAGTTTCTTGAAGAACCCAACAATGTAGAAATTGAACCAGAGCAGAAGTTTTATGTCAACCTTGCTGTATATAACCAAAGCAAGCATACCAAGACTTTACCTGTTGGTGTGATTGCCGACATCACACCAATGACTGATGAACATCAAGCTGACTTCTCAAAAGCAGCATCCGAAACAGCCTCAGATATGGCTTGTGAAGCTGTTGAACAACTTGAGCAAGTACAATTACATCAAAACCTTTACCGTATAGCTCAACACAAGCAAGCAACAGTTTGTCATGATACTTTACCCCATCCATTTCAAAGTTTTAACCCACTCCATGCCCAGAAAGAGATGAATATTGCATTTCGTAAAAACAAAGAACCAAGTTTTAGTCAATTAACTAACCTTTACTGTGCAAATCATTTGATATTGAGTGATGAGAGCCGTGATTTACCTCCTTTAAGTGACACCACGTTAGATCCATTCTCTGAAGATTACAAAGATATGGTTGTTGAAGCCATCCATTTGCATGACAATTGCAATCTCACCACTACACAAAAAACTGAACTTGAGTCTCTTATTCGCGAACACGCCCATGTTTTTATGTTACCAGGAGCTCCATTTCGCGGAGTTAACCATGTCGAACACAGTATTGAGACTGGTGATGCTAAACCCCAATACTCAACGCCATATTCCCACTCTCCTGTTCAATTACAGCTTATCAAACGAGAAATTCAAAAAATGGTTGAACAAAACATTTTAGAACCATCAACATCTCCCTGGGGTGCCCCTTGTTTATTGGTTAAAAAGAAAACGGAACATGGTCTACAAGTGACCCCCCGTCTTGTTTGGGACTATCGCAAACTGAACAAAGTTACAAAACCTGATGTCTACCCACTTCCTCATGTGCAAATGATCCTTGACCAACTAGGTGGAAAGAAATGGTTCACTAAGTTGGACTTGTTTAGTGGATTTTGGCACATTCCCATAACCCCAAAGGACAGAGAGAAAACAGCGGTTATAACTCATGTTGGACTTTATCAGTTCAAAAAACTTCCATTCGGTCTCCGTAACGCCCCTGCGAGTTTTCAGCGTCTAATGAACTCCACTTTTGCCGACATGCTTTTCCCTGCTGACGAAGCACCTTACCTGTCGCCTAAGTGGATGATATATTGTGTCACAGTACCAAATGGACCGACCACCTTACCCACCTCGAACGTGTTTTGAAGCGATGTGATAAAGTAGGTCTTTCGCTTAAACCTTCAAAGTGCAGTTTTGCTAGTCATAGCCAGGAATTTCTCGGCTATGTAATCTCCAAAGACGGTCGTGCGCCAGATAAAGATAAAATACAAGCTGTTGCGTCTTTCCCTCGACCAACTTGTGTATCAGACGTTCAAAAGTTTCTTGGACTTGCCGGATATTATCGTGAACACATACCACATTTCGCAACGTCCTCTTTTAACCTCCGAAAACTACTCAAGAGTCAAAGTGTTTTCCATTGGGGAGATCAAGAACAGAAGGAATTTGATTCCTTAAAACAGGCCTTATGCTCGGACAAGGTTCTTCTTCATCATCCCAACTGGGAGCGTAACTTTATTGTTCAGACTGATGCATCATCTAAAGGCCTCGGAGCCGTGTTATCACAAATTGGACCTGACAACAAAGAACATCCTGTACGTTATGCTAGTCGAGCCCTTCAAGTCCCAGAGTCCAAATGGACAACCCGTGAACAGGAACTGTTAGCCGTTATTTGGGCTTGCGAGACATTTCATCGTTATCTTTGGGGACGTAAATTTCTTATTCAAACGGATCATGCAAATCTTCAGTGGCTCCAAGCTGTTAGCCCACAAAAGAGTCGTTTAGCTCGTTGGGCAATGCGCCTAGCTGAGTACGATTTCGAATTGCAACACCGTTCAGGAAAAAACAATGCAAACGCTGATGCCCTTTCCCGATGTCCAATTCCCCTCAGTAGTACTTCAGCCGAATCTACAAGCTCGAGTGAAATGGAATCTTTGATGGATGTAAAAACACTAGTTGTTCTCGAGTCATGTCTCGATGTTGATGTTGATTTATCGCCAGAGAATGAGTTAGCACAAGATCAGTTAATTGCCCTGAAACCTTCCTTGTTTGAATTCAGAGAAGAACAACGTTTATGTCCTGAATTGATGCCAATCATTCAGTATCTAACAGATCTAAGTCCAGAACAGTCTCCTGAGAAGCATTCAAAATTTCAAGGATACGAGGTCAATTACAATGATGGTTGTTTATATTACAATGATATTACTGATCCAGACAATAGACCCCTTCTGGTGGTGCCTGCCACACTACGGCGTCAATTTATGTATGCACATCACAATGCCCCCTTGTCTGGTGGACATAGAGGACGTGATTCAACTCTATCTTCTCTTCGTCAAAAGTACTATTGGCCTGGAATGGTCCGCGACGTCCGCAAATGGGTACGAAAGTGTATTGCTTGTGTAAAACGGAAAGCCTCACAAGTGAAGCAAGGACTAATGCAAATTCGAACATATTCAGAACCTTGGGACACTGTTGGAATCGACTTGATTGGTCCTTTCCCTGAAACGAAGACAGGATACAAATACGTTCTAACCGTTACAGATTTCTTTAGTCACTACACAATCGTTGCCTCCTTGTCAGACAAATCTGCAAGAACCGTAGCATATAACCTTTTCAACCATGTAATTTGCGTGCACTCCTGTCCTAAGAAGTTTATGAGTGACCGTGGAACTGAATTTCTGAACGATATCATAAATGAACTTTGCCAACTCCTTTCCATTAAGAAAGTGTACACAAGTGCTTATCGACCGCAAGCGAACGGAGGAACCGAACGTGTTCACCGTTTCATTAACGATAGTGTTTCAATGTATATTACAAAGTTTGCACGAGAATGGGATCTTTGGATATACGCAAGTGCATTTGTGCACAATACTTCTGTCATCACTGGCACAGACGGACTTACTCCTTTCTTTCTTATATTTGGACGAGAACCGGTTATGCCAACTGACGTAATGTTGTCTCCAGTTGTTGTGATACCACAAGACCAGAAAACTTATACCAAAGAATTGCTCATGAAACTCTCTAAAGCTCGTGAATCTCAGAAAGATTACTACGATCTAGGCCGAAAAACAACTCAATTCCTAGTTGGTGACCTTGTTGTAGTTCGTCGGACTCAGCGCAGCGGTCAAACAGGAATCGCAGCCAAATGGCTACCCCGATGGACTGGCCCATACCGCATTGTAGAACAAATGCCAAATGGTGACAATTATCGATTGGAACATGTCGAAACTGCGAAAATACTCGACCCAACCAATGTGGACAAATTGATCAAAGTTGAACCCTGGTCAGTCAACGAATCTAACCCCGGACAAACCAATCCAAACGAAGAAGAGGACACCCCGACCGAAATCTCACAATCCCATCGCAACCCGCAGTTTGAAAATGGTTCGTTTATTGTCTACGAAAAGCTTGGAGACTTTTTTGATGACGACATAAGAATCATGATCGAAGAACTGCATGCTTGGTTAAAATCACAAAAAGACTATAAGTCATCAACCGGAGAAGCGTGCAAATACCTTTACACAAAAAATCCCGAGTTCAAAAAGATTCTTCAAAGCATTGGTGGAATTCGTCAGTTGCTGATTCATACACCATCGATACAGTTTGAGATGCCTGACGCAACCGGTGGAAAAAACTCTCTGAAACTGTTGGATGCCAGTCAATATGTTGGATGCCAGTCAATGCCAGGCATAGAGTGTTATGTTCTATTGAGTTAGACGATAAGTATAAGATTGGACAGAACGCTCAAAAGCAACTTGAAGATTTACAATTACTTTGTGTTTGTTATAAGAACAAGCGTCTTCCTTGTTAGCTAAATACGTTTATATTACCAAACATATGTTCTCTTTTTTTAAAAAGGAATGGAATGTAGTAGGATTTTAGGGAGGTACAACCTGCGAACAGGTAGAGAGCACATGGACTCTCAATGGCCGCTAGTTTATAGGATAATGTCGTAGAAGAAAAACCATATTTGATTCGTGTTTTCGTTCATGTAATGTTTATATTGTTGTTTGATATTAAAGTATATGTTTATATACACTGACTACTACAGGAAAGTAAGTTTTAGGCTTTGTCCTTGTTTAACAAAATCGATTTAAATTGTTACGTTTTTCCACCACTAAGTAATGATAAATTATTGTTAATATTTTTTTAACTTTTTGTGCGTTTTTTCCTTCTTTTATTTCAAATACAAGTATAGTTAGCATAAATTTTAGAGCAAATTTGGATGCTCAGAATGCAGGAAATGGCATTTCCGGGTTTCAAATTTCAAAAATTTTCTGGATAGTATGCTCCCACACACGTGGCCTTCGGCCATTGCTATCCCCCTCTAATAAGTAATGACAAATTACGGTTAATATTTTTTTAACTTTTTGTGCGTTTTTTCCTTCTTTTATTTCAAATACAAGTATATTTAGCATAAATTTTGGAGCAAATTTGAATGCTCAGAATGCAGGAAATGGCAATTCTGGGCTTCAAATTTCAAAAATTTTCTGGGGAGTATGCCCTAGACCCCCCTATTCATGCATGGTATGTCGGCCTTCAGCCGTTCCTATCCACCTCTAATATATTATCTCACAGAAAGGTCCCTTTTCAAAAAATGCCCCCCCCCCCACCGGAAAATCCTTAAAAAAGGCCCTGTATTTTATGACTACCATATAACTACTAAATTATGTTTTTATTTTAATTTGAACTGGACTTTGCTGGATGCCCATCAAGATTTTTCAAATAAATTATGTATAGATAGATGTAGATGTAGATGCTTCGCGTTTCGGTGAATATCCTTGCGCCATTCACCGATATTGAGCTGAATAATTGTTAATTATCAATCAATTAATGTCACGGTAAGCGTTATGAATTCTCGCCTTCTGCTCGATGGATAAAACTTACCTCGACCTTGATTATTCTAGATATCACAAAAACTGTTTAATATAAATTGTTTTTGAAATTTCTGGAATCATAAAATATAAAACAGGTTGATTGCATAGAGCAGGGTGGCACAGTGGAAGCGTGCTGGGCCCATAACCCAGAGGTCAATGGATCAAAACAATTTCCTGATGTTAATATAATCGACCGTAAATATATCTAGATGTCACTCTAATAATTTCATGTGTTGTTTTTTGCGTCAATTGTTTAGGCAAAACAACAAATCGTCGTCTTAGTTAATGTCGTCCTAAACGATTCAAACCTAGTTTTCATTCTTAAGCGAAAGTTTAAAGTGCCTATGACACGAAATTTCACCCCAAAGGTTTATGGTTGCATTGTAAAGATCACTTAAAATGACTTAATAATTTATTTTATAGAATTTTGGTAACTTGCTCCCCTTTTCAAGATATTCAACTTTGTTGCATATGCAAATATCACCGGTGTGACATCACATCACATAATCTGTTTTCAGAAAAGTATAGTTTTCTTGACGAATACGTATCTAAAAAAATGCCCTTGTAGATGTATTAATTTCATAACTGGTAATTATTAACCCTCTGTATTTGTTTGTAACAATGTTTTATCAAGATAAAATATTGCGTTTTCAAAATGTCATGCGATGTGATGTCACACCGGTGATATTTGCATATGCAACAAAGTTGAATATCTTGCAAAGGAAGCAAGTTACCAAAATTCTATAAAAGAAATTATTAAGTCATTTTAATTAAGTGATCTTACAATGCAATCATAAACATTTGGGGTGAAATTTCGTGTCATAGGCATTTTAACAATCAAATCGTCATCTTTGTTACACCTTCATACAGCCGCATTATTTCCGATTATAAAACAAGTAATATATATATTGCTTTGTGAAATTTCTGGATTCATGAAATATATAAAATCCATAAAGCAGAGCGGTTTATTTGGTTAGTGCGCATGCGCGTTGTGCTTATAAGCAGTATGTAAAAGCAATAGTATATAAATTTGCAACAGCAGTTAGTGATTAATTGAGCCTTTTACAACCAAATCAAAAAAGGTTGTCCTTTGCAAACCTTAAACTCTAAACCTTAAACCTTAAACTGTAAGCGCGCAAAGCTTAATGGGAGCACAAGTTTCAAGCTTAGTAGTGGAATATTGCAGCTTTTGTGAATTAATTCTTCTCGTAAGGATATATTTACAATGTCTCTAAGAAACGGGCCCCAAATATGATTTCTAAACTGATTAAATGACGCTCCCATTATGCTTTGCTCGCTTATAGTTTAAGGTTTAAGGTTTTTCAAAGGACAAATTTTTTTGAATTAGCTGTAAACGTTTTACGAAGAGGCCAGAGTTAAATTTTACATTTAATCTAAGCTTATAAAATGATACATACCTGTGGGGAACGACAGGTTCGGTCCCGTTCAGTACGATCCCACAAGATCACAAATTCACTCACAGTTTAATCATAAACATAAAATTATATTTCACAAAAGATTTAGCTCTCGCTCACTTGGCTCACAATCTCACAAGATAGAAAACATGCACAGACACTTATCTTTTAACACAACAAAAAGGATTAATATGAGTTTAATGAACTAATGACGTAAGTTCGAATAAAGGCAATTTCCGACACACTCCCCCATGTGACTTCAGAAGGAAGGCACATGAAAGGAGGAATTGTCTCGTCAGGTAAACAACAATATATATATATATATAAAAAGGTACATAAGTTCAGTCACTTAGCTGTCTTGGACAGCAGCTTGTCTCTTGATCTTCTCCTTCGCTTGTACAGCCGCCACACGTTTAGGGCGAAACACCGGTGCTTCAGCACGTAATGCATTTTTATCGGAACTATCGCACGATAACTCTAACGGATAGAGATGCTGGATTGGACGTTCTAGATGATCTTTACCAGCCCGTAACTTCACAGCTCGCACAATACCATCTTTTCCCTTCACTAGTTTCACGACAATCCCCAAAGGCCACTTTCCACGATTTCTCTCTTGAGACTTAATGATGACAACGTCTCCAACTTGTAACTTTGATTCCGTTTTACCGCTCCTCATACAGTGTCGTTCTCTTAGTGCACGGAGGTATTCTGCAGTCCAACGAGACCACAAATGATCTTTGCACTTTCTTAGATATTTCTCGCGCTTTCGTAAGTCTTTGTTTTGCACGACAGCTGGATCTTGCTCCCGTAGCAAGATGGGACCTCGGAAGAGAAATGATGCCGGTGTCAACACTGGTAGTTGGATATCTTCTTCCAGGTAACTGAGGGGGCGATTGTTGAGAGCCACTTCGACATCCAACACGACTTCGCACAATTCTGGCCATGTAGGTAAACCATTTCCAATTAAGGAAGACTTAAACACTCCTATTAAGCGTTCAAACTGTCCGCCCCACCATGGAGCTCTGCCGAGGTTAAAAGACCATGCAATTGAATGTTCAGAAAGAAAGCTGTTCAGCTTCTCGTCTCGCTGAACCCTTTTCAGCCAACGAGCCCTGCAAACAAAGGTTTTCCCGTTATCTGAATAAATTCGTTTGGGACGACCACGACGTGCAACGAATCTTTTCAAGCTTGCGACAAACTCTGTTGCTTCGAGGCTAGGCAACACTTCCAAGAACAGGGCTCGAGTTAGACAGCAGGCATACAGAACAAGATAAGCTTTCGACTCTACCTTTCCTTTGCGACGATAGCAAATAGGACCTGCAAAGTCTACACCAACGGATTCAAATGCTCTTGAACCTTCGGTACGCGAAGTGGGTAACAAACCAGGCAGTGGTTTCGAAAGAGCTTGGGCTTGAAATCGTTTACATCCGTAACACTGTCCAATGACTCATTTTGCTAGGCTTCGTAGATGCGGAATCCAAAATAACTCACGGATTTTCGCCATGGTAAGCAGCATACCACCGTGTAAGGTGTCGATATGGGCTTCTACTACTAATTTCTCAGCAAATGTTCCAGTATCTGAGAGATAAGTTGGATATACGCCTTGAATACGGCCGCGACATTCGAGAATTCCTGCTGTATTTTCTTGTAAATTTAATTGAGCGCTGTCAACAACAAACTTTCGACGAGTCTTCGCTCGGGCTTGCTCTCGTAGGATCCACCAGTTTCTTTGTTGTTGTAATTCTTCCGCCGTAAGAGGACCGTAAATCTTGGGCTTTCGCAATGAATTGTGCACGAATCTGGAAATCCAAGCACACACACGCAAGGTAGTGGGCAAATCACGTTTTTCTAACAGCTCATCGAAGACATCAGGTTCATCTTCAACGGTGGCAAGAACAGATTGGATTATCTTGGATTCAGCAGCAGATTCTGAGCTCTCACTTGTAGTGGGATTCGTAGGGCATGACTCAGCAGAAGGTAACCACACAGGGCCATGCCACCAGAGTTTCATATCGTTGACAGGTCCACCACGACTACCAATATCTGCAGGATTTTGGGCTGTGGGTACATATCTCCAACCATTAACATCATGAGCTTGTATCTTTTGAACTCTGTTAGCAACGAATTGGCAGTACTCCCCATTGCCACAGATCCAGTGGAGAGCGACTGTACTGTCGAGCCAACAATACACTCCGATTATAGGAAAGCCTTCGATTGCCTCGCGAACATTGTGGACGAGATTCACCGCCATATGCCCAGCAACCAATTCTAATCTTGGAATAGTTAACACACGTTTCGCCAATCTCGATTTAGCCGTAACAAGACCTTGACTAACTCCTGATTGCTGTCGAACGACGGCGTACACTGCAGCAGAAACACCACGACCACTGGCGTCGCCAAACGAGTGAAGCTCCACTGCTTCGATGGGCTCTCTGTGGGGGACCAAGGTACGGTTAAAGGTGACGCGCACGGGTAAGGAATCTTCCCACTTCAACCATACTTTCAACAGTAATTCGCGTATAGGTGTATCCCAGCTCAGTTTCGAATCGCACGCGTTTCGATAGATGACCTTGCCTTTGAGGGTGACAGGGGAAACTAATCCAATTGGGTCGTAGACCTTCGCTAATTTTCCAAGAATTCCGCGTTTCGTGGATTCTTCGCTGATCTTCTTTGGAAACGTCACGCTCAAAGTATCTTTGTCGCAATCCCACGGCAAGCCAATAATGCTTGCTTTATTAGACTGAGAAATGTTCAACTGTTGTTCAATAAATGATGGTTCCATATCAGCATAACTTCCGGTACTCTGCTCCATAGTCTCTAGTTCTGGAACGTTAGAGTGCCATTTATGAAGATGAAAACTGGCGTCGTCAAAAATCTCAATTGCATTTCGTTTAAGCTCTTGCACTTCGTTAACAGCTGTACCCCCCCCCCCCGGATATCGGATAATCTACGTATAAACTGCGACGGATTTCTTGTACGCTTTGAGGGTGCCTTGGTTCCCAACCAATAAGATGTTGCTCGATAACACCTCCAAGTAAGAAAGGCGAAGGTGCTAGGCCAAATGCACGAGTAAATCAATAGGTTTCCACTTCGTTCGAATCGAGGCTCTTCAACCAGTGGAACCGAAGTGCATCACGATCACCGTCTCTAATTCGCACTTGTAGAAAGGCTTTGCGTAAATCACCGGTCAAACCCACTGGGTGAAATCTACCACGAACCAACACATTCCACAATTTGTTTTGTAGAGGGGGGCCTGGGTCTAAGCAGTCGTTAAGCGAAGAGGAATTTCGGTCGGCTTTTGCTGAGCAATCGTAAACAATTCTCATCTTCGGATAACGGCGCGGTGAGGCACGTAGTATTCTCTTCCCACGACTTTTTCAGGCGCCTTTTCAACCAATCTCGTTGCCCGAGCCTGCGATCCTCGGGAAGGTACGCGAGGCTCTGGGATAATCCGTTTCAGGGAGGAATCTGATTGGCCGTTGAAATGGAACGCGTAGTTCAATCTTAGCCAGAATTCCTGGCGTCCGGCAACGGATTATCCCAGAGCCTCGCGTTCCTTCCCGAGGATCGCAGGCTCGGGGAACGAGATTGCTTTTCAACAACCCCTTCGGCGAGATGTTCTTGAATGAGTGTATCATACGCTTCGAGATTTCAGTCTCGTCTCAATTTATTGATTTGGCTTTTCATACGAGTGAGGCTGCCAGAGCGATTGGATGGTAGCGGTGGGTGGTTGCCTTTCCACGTTAGGTTGGTCTCGTACCAGCCTTCGACTGGATGGCGGGTCAGCTGCTCACGAAATTCCTTGTAGACCTCCCCCTGATCGCCGGGGGATGAATCTTCCAAACCAAGCACGTCAAGAGTACACAAACGGTCATAGTCAGTGGTAGTGTTGACTGCGAGAAACCCGGTTTTATGATCGGCTCCGTCTCCAGGTGCCATTATAGCCCAGCCAAAACGCGTTAATTCAGCGACTGGTTCGCCTTGTCTACCAATTCGTGCCTGGGTTTGCGTGCAGATTTTGACATATTCGTTCGCGCCAATTATCAAATGTACAGGTAAATTTCTATCATCGGTCATGTCATCGATAGTAACACCTCTCAAGTGCTGATATTCACTTAAAAGCCGTTCATAATTAGGATTATCTAAAGTCAATAGTTCGCGCTTGTTTATTTTAGTAACTCTGGCATTGAGAATAAATTTCCGTATTATCACTTCTAAAGACAAATCGTATTCTTCAACTTTAGTCGTAGTTGTGCTCATTAAGGTAGCTATTCTGCGAGTACTAGTTTTGACAGGACGCGCTTTAATCTGTTCGATTAAGGTCGAGGAAGCGTAAGAGTGACTGGGGCCACTGCAAATTTTTTTTCCGTAGACAGTCGGACTCCTCATTATTAGATGTGCCTTCCCAGTGTGTCTTGCGCACGCAATTGTTGATTTCAAAACAGTGTGATTGTATTGCATGGACGTGGTTGAGATGCCAAAATCTGAGCAGCACACATTGTAGCTTTATATTTTGTGTGGTGAAGGCATCTAACATATTTTATTAAGTTATATTCGCCATTCCCACTTGCTTTTCTTTACTTTTGTAACTGTTTGTAAGTTGCATTGTTTTCGATTCCATAATTCTGAAAAACATTGAAATATCTTCTGGAGCGTTTGCAGAATACACGTCCACTTTTTAAGCTATGCCTTTCAAACATCAAGGATACGATGTATTAATACATATAATTTATTCTCAATAGATTATTGAATATAATACAATAATAGATTAATAGATTAAAATCTCATGGTGGTAAAGGTAGCTACGAGGCATACAGTGAGTCAGTGACTTAGCATTAATACATTAAATTGTCATAGTGTTAAAGTTGTTAAAGTTAGTGTTACAATTGTTGTGATGGACTCACGGTGTCTGTCTACGGCTGCTCTATCTTCATTCCCGAGTACTTCGTCGCAGCGTTTCAATCTGAAGTTCAACGCCTTGAGCTTCGCATCCATCTCACTTTGCTGGTTCTTCATGTTCGAAACGTCGTATCACAATCCCGTCGGAGGTGCCAGTAATGTGGGGAACGGCAGGTTCGGTCCCGTTCAGTACGATCCCACAAGATCACAAATTCACTCACAGTTTAATCATAAACATAAAATTATATTTCACAAAAGATTTAGCTCTCGCTCACTTGGCTCACAATCTCACAAGATAGAAAACATGCACAGGCACTTATCTTTTAACACAACAAAAAGGATTAATATGAGTTCAATTAACTAATGACGTAAGTTCGAATAATAGGTTCTAGATGAACAGTACATGATAACACTTAGTTTAAAAAATTTCGGACATACCTGCCATTTTTTGAAAAGTGTTAATTCTACCGTACAATATATTAAGAACTAGCCATTATTGAACTTATTAAAAAAATAACAAAACCCATTGATCAAGGGCAATACACGATTGGCATTTTTCTTCATTTAAAATGGATTATTAGAATTATTTTTTAAATTTCTTAATTTTCTTAATTAATTTCTAAATGTGATTATGCACGTGACTGCATAATTTTTTCATATATATTATTAATAATCAGTGTGATGATTTTTTATTAGACAGCCTAAACCAAAGCCAGTTTTCTATAATTAATTCACTGAATTCTAAGACCTAGACCTCAAACTTGAAAAGTTAGCTGTGCCATAGTCAACAATAACTGCGCATGTGCATCCCTGAATTGAAATGACTATTTCAAATCTTTACAAAAAATAATAGAGAGATCAGATTTGACTTCCACTACTGCTGTTGCTGCAGTTAACTAGTCAGATAAGTTTAATCTACCCAATCAAACAATTGGAGGTAGCTGTCAGTGATAGGTAGCAGTACTGGAAGTGGAAGTCAAATTTGAACCTTTCTATATGGGTAATGGGTTTCAAAGAGACCAGTCGTTATAGATTGTCAAGGGTGGGTTGACTACAAAATTTTTGTAGTTCGCTATAACTACAGCTACTTCAAAAATATGTAGTCAGCTACAACTACTGCTATACTTTTGAACAAAAGTAGTTCGCTACTGACTACAGCTGCTGCTTAAAAAATGTAGCGAACTATTTCGCTATTTCGCTGCGCTATATTTTTTAGTTTTACTGTAAACATTGGAAGGTGTCGAGAGGATTTTGGGACTTGAAAAATATAAAATATTGCGCTAAAAATAACCTTTACTGTGAAGAGTGGGCCGGAAATCGCGAATAACTAAGATGGCACTTGCACAGTTGCACGCCAGCACGGCATAATATTATTTAATTTTATTCGTGCAAATTGACTATTGGGTATTGAGTATTGATTTTAAGCAGACCGTGTCTTAATATCATTCTATTCTATCAAGTTGCTAACAATTTTAAAGAGAAGCGAATAGCGATTCGCTGTTTGAAAAGTAGTTACTGATTACTTGACTATACTTTTAGGCAAAATGTGGTTCGCTATAACTACAGCTACTGTTTTAAAAAAGTAGTCAAAAACTACTGGCTACTTGAAAATTGTAGTTCGCTACAGTAGCGAACTGCAGCTACTTCGCTACTACCCACCCTTGTACATCGTTATAACTTGTTTAATCAAAAGCTACTACATATAAATTATTTATTTATGATATTAAAAATTGATATAATTATGTATAAAGTAATACTAATTTTAAAACAATATTCATAATTTGAAAATTATTCACGGAGGTGAATAATCATTCACGCAGGTGAATACATAAATATGTTGTTGTTTAATTCCAATAATCGCATGATATTAACTTTTTATGCAAAAAAGCTTTTGAACTTTAATAAAAAAATTAATTCAAAGAAACTTTTACATAAAATGAGTGCTTATTAATCGCTCGCACGCGAGTGAAGGTATTATGCGCGATTTTTGTTTAGCGCAGTATTATTATTATTATTATTATTATTATTATTATTATTATTTTTTATTATTATTATTATTATTATTATTAGCGCAGTATTATTATTATTATTTTTATTATTATTATTATTATTATTATTATTATTATTATTTTTTTTTTTTTACTCACCACTGGTTATGAGACAAACCTCAAAAACAACGTAAAACGGAAGAAGGATAAATATAGAGAATTATTGAGACAGCTAGGTAAAAATTTTAACCAAGTTAAATTTATAAATCTCTCCATCAGCTCTTTAGGTATTTTTGCAGAAGAATGTTATACATTTTTAGACATGTTAGATAGTATTGGTCTTGACAAAAACCACCAAATGTACTGCGTTAGGAAAATGATGACTATTGCTATTAGAACTACATATTACATTTTCTGTTGCCGAAATAAGAAATGGGAAAATCCGGATTTACTAACAATTTGACTTATCTCATTGTATATATATATATATATTGCATGCACTTTGTTCTGTTATTTTAGTTTAGTATAATTGTGATTCAAATAGCCAACCGTAAGTTACCTTTATGAGAGAGATTTACGATTGTATATGTATGTAAAGAAAAACATTTAATAAAGTTTCCATTATTATTATTATCATTATTATTATTATTATTATCATTATTATTATTATTATTATTATTATTTAATCTTCTTTAAAAACAACGGTAGCCCTTCAGCATAGATAAGAGCTGTTTTCCAAGGGGCCGTTGCACAATACAAATTTACAAAAAAAGTTAGGTTAGTAATTACAATTAGTATATATATAGTTACAAATTACACATTACACATTACACATTACACCACATAATATGATAAGACTTAAGTATTATGTTGAGGTCTGTCCCGAAGCAAGGTTTTAAATGCGTTTAATGACAAGCAATTGCTTTTCAGTTCTACTGGTAATTCATTCCAAATTTTTACACCTGAATAGCTGATGCTTTTTTTAAAAAAGTTTGTTTTGGGCTTTTCTAATTTATAATCGATATTATTATTTCGTAAATTATAATTGTCATTATTTTTAACGACAAACAAGCTAGATATATTTTCTAAGTATTCACCATTCGTAACTTTATGCATAAATATCGCCTTATTATTACCCCACCTTTCCATCAATGGCTGCCAGCTTAATTCTTCTAATATATCCTTAGATCTGACATCATATGATTTACCAGTTATGACTCTTGCAGCCCTGTTTTGCAGTTTTTGGAGTTTTTCCAGCGAATATGCATTTCCTATATCCCAAACAAGGCTGCAATAGTCAAAGTGGGGCAAGATAATTGAATTGTATACAGAAATAAGGGTTGATTGGGGTACAAAAGCTTTCATTCGTCGAATCATTCCTATGCCTTTTGATACTTTGGTGGCAACCGTATTTATATGTGAATTCCATTTAAGTTGGTCATCGACAATAACACCTCGTATTAAGTGTTAATTTGTTAGCCAACAACCATTGATGTATATTTTCTAAATTATTATTTAATTTATTGTACAACTCAGTTGATGTGCTACCACTCGCTGTCAGATTAGTGTCATCTGCAAACTGTCATCAAAAATCTGTCATCTGCAGTGTCAAAGCATGTGTTCGCTGCCGAAGCACTGAGGGAAGCGTAAGGTGCGCTTCGATCGCTTAAATTGCTCTATATTTCACGATTCCCTATAATAAATCAATTATTCTCATTTCTTGAAACAAAAATTGCTTTAAAGCTTATTGTATGAAACGATTTTCCAAATAGATGGGTTTTTTTAATTGAAACTCTTTGCTTGTCCCACTCCGGGTAAACAACCATATTTTTTAGATCAGTGGAAGGTCTACCCATGACACCCATCAACCGTAGTCACGAGTCTGCGATTATTAATGCTCCAGACTTTGCTAATCTTTTCAGTGGCGTAACGGAGGAAGGCCCCTGTTGTTGTTGTTGTTATTGTTTGACTGAGATCTTGTATCTATACTGAATATTTATACTGATGTTTTAATTGGAAAATTCCGAGTTTATAACAACAACAGCCTCCAACACAAGTAAGGGGCCAATTACATGGAGCACTTCCAACCCCGGGGTTTTCAGTGCTATACGTTCCCGGCATTGATACTGGGAAGTAAAAACCGGCTCCATAGCCTCTATTATTTTTGTTTTCTTGTAATAAATAGTCACTACCACGCATGCTCAAATAACTCATAAATAATTTCAGCCGGCTCGGGTTGAAACGATATATTACATGACAAAATTTTCAACCCAGGGCCAAGTTCAACCCAAAATCGATATAAATTGTTGAAATCTGATAGAAATTGTCGGCCCTGGGTTGACTGAAATCTTGTCATGTAATCGTGCGTTTGGTTTTGATTTGTATTATAGATAGGGCTGAAATTTCAACCCGGTCAACAGGACTGAGTTCAATTAACCTCAAGGTTGAAAATGCTCCATGTTATAATCGGTCCCTAATAAGAATACGTTTGTTTTATTTGAGATGGAATAACAAAATCCGTTACCGTTGTCGATGGAGGCTTTATTATTTAGCATTATTTAATCTTGCCGATAGGCCGTGCCTGATGGGGACCCCTAACTGTTGGGGGCCCTTAGTTTTTTAACTAACCCTACCTAATGAGCGTTACGCCACTGAATCTTTTCCTTTCCCCGGGAGTAAATAGCCGAGAGGAATCAGCACCCTAGCCCCGGGCTAACGTCCGGAACGTTTTACTAGATTAACAAAAAATATCCCAGAATATTTCATAACAATTAGTTTATTTACAATTACAATCACTATACAGCATATTAATTCTAATTGGTATATTGCAAAGTTTACTATTTTGCTTTTTTAGTTTCATGATTTAAATGACATGATATATAGAGTTAGTGTACTGTCTATTGAATCTTTGTCCACATTGAATAATTACTGAAATACCGACATTAGGAAAAGGTCTACCATATGCATTAGAAACCGAATGACTGAACAGCAACATTACACTAAGACGAGGGTTGTATCACTCCAAAAACGTGTACAAGATTTTCGGGATTCAGTCGAAATTCCCTTAGAATTTTTCTGAGATTTGTAGGGATTTTAGAGATTTTTAGTGATTTTATATAGGTTTTTAAGGATTTAGAGGGATTTATTAGGGATTTGGTGAGATTTTAAAGGATTTTTCGATCAAAGCATACGAGAATTTTGGAGTGATAGACCCCTCGAGAAAACATTTTATCATAAGGGATCATGCTGAAATTTGCCACGCTCTTTATTGATTATAACTATTACGTGCTATTAGCTTATGACCAGGGACTTTACAGACCCATTAAAGATGCTGCAACGTTCGTTCTGCACATCAGTTCTGCTCGTAACAAAGGGGCACCGCAAAAATAAACATTTGCCAAACTTTGCATCTTTCGAACTTTTTTTAATTGAAACGTACTTTAGTTTATATTCATTTACAAGCATAGCGAACCAGAAAAGTGTTAGATCAGGGCCGTAGCTAAGCATGCATAGTTGGGGGTGTAGGCCAAAAATTTCCGAATGAAGAAAAAAAATTCCGAATATTTCATGGCATACGAAGCCACGAAGGTGTTTGCTATCCGGAAAATGAAAACGCAATTTACAAACAAAAATACTCATATTTTACCCACAGACATTACACGCAGAAGCAGTGCAGCTCCGTACAGAAGCGTGCAGTTCCATAGGAAGTTCTTTTTGATAGGGGGTGGCGAGGGCCGAAGGCCCGAGGAAATTTTTAAATTTAGAGTCTCTGAAATGCCATTTCGTGGACTTTGGGAGAAGTTTTGACAGAATTCTGATGGTCAGAAAACAGAGTTTTAGCACGTCAAAATTTAGACGGCGAAGGCGTATATGGGTAATACGACTCTTTGCGGTTTGTCATGGGTAATGTAGCCGCTTAAAATTAATCAATTAATTGTCAGTATTTTAAAGATATATTGAGGGCTCCCCCCTCCCCCCCCCCGTTGCTACGGCCCTGGGAAGTAATAAACCGAAAAATATTTACCGATCTACGATTTGTTAAATGTTATCCATGTAAATGCTGTGATTTTGTAAATCAGTTTATAATTATGATGCTGACAATACAATTTTATAATATTTTCTGTTTAAACAACTAAAATTTTGTTATACTATTACTGCCGTAATTTTCCGAATGACCAACCTGATTTTCCGAATATGTTAATTCTAAAAAAGTTGGGAGGTTAACCACCCCCCCCCCAATACCCCCCTTTGCTACGGCCCTGTGTTAGATATTCAGTTAGTATATCATATTTTACAAATAGGCTTATAGAGCAATTCAAAATGTAAACAAAGCGTTTGTTTACATTACGGACTTTACAACATCTTTAAATAATGCGCATGTTAATGATTTTAATATATTTAAAGTGTGCTTAATGTTTTCTGTTTACAGTCACTGACCTGAAAATTAGAGTGGTGGTAGGCTGGTGGCTTGTGCCAAAAATGAAGTCAATTGAGCATTGTTAGAGAATGGAAATCGACAGCATTCAGCCATGCCGAACAATGGCGAAAATCTATTGTAAAAAGTTAGGGACGCGTTTGCGCACAAATGTCGTTTATTATAGATTATATCATGAATGTGAATAGAGTAGGGGACGCGTTATTATTTTTAAACGTCGCAATAAATTTCTGCCATAATACGTTTACTTTAATAAATTGCTGCCATGATACCTTTCTTAGCGTTTAGTCTAGTTTTTATTTCTGATCGCTGATTCACCGTAATATATTAAGCATTAATGCATGAGAAATCCTGCTCAGTTGAAAGATTACTCTCTCTATCAAATATTAGACGAGTAGGAAGCGATGCAGCTTCGGTTGAAAGACCCGCTCTATTTGTTGCCTCCACTGTTGCAAATATTGTTTCTCCCAGAGACAGACCATATTTTTCCCCAAGTTCAAACTTTGCATCTGAGGCAATACGAGTATATGTATAAGGTATGATATCATATCTAAATGGTTCCCGTCCAATGGCGACACGATATCCAGCGATGTTTGATTCTTTGTCTCCAAATTCCGACCAGTAAACTCGTAGTGTCGTATTGAGAAAGTGACAGCCAACATGCTCACGAAGAACGTCATGATTTCGATCCGGGCTGATTATCACAAACCCCTAAATTGAATAATATTATTTCATATAATTTTAAATTAAACTAGCTTGAATTTCTGATGACCACTCGTTGCATGAGATTTACGTCTGAAGGGACATGCCGAAATCCCAATATAGTGACGTCACTCATTTCCAGAAAACCTGGTAGTGATTTTGATTGGCTGAGAGCTATAATTATGTATAAACTAGAAATACATGCATGCGCCAACTCCTTGTCCGTTCTTAATAGAGCGACTATAATTCCAAAACATTGTATCATCATGAAATATTTCATAATTGGAAACAACAGTAGTTGCTATGCTAACATGCAAATAGTATGTTTAATTTTGTAAACTACAAAATACTTCAATTCAACAAATAGGCTGGATAATCAAAAGCTAAAATTTAAAATAATTGATTTTCAAATTCTAGAATTAACTGTTATGCCTTTATTTGGCCTTCAATAGGAATAATTTTAATGTAAAATTAATCCATTTTACTGAATGTCACTTTATGCTAGGAAGAACGTTTCAAAACTTTGGTAAACGGGTGCGGCATGGGCGGCCCAAAAATGATGTTGCCGACAGGCAGTCTGCTCGAAAATACGGTGAAAATATTTTATTTGCTTTAGGCAATAACGTTTATGTGAATTAGATATCGGTCAGGCCATATTTGTTAAAAGCTAATATAAACAAATAAAAGAACAAAGGGCAAGTCCAAGTGGGGCTGCATTGTCCAAAATGAACGACGATATTTTAATATTGTAATTAACCAGCTTACAAAAAATACATCTTATTGCGTGATGGAAAAGTTTCCAGATTTTAGGAAAGCCGTGTTAATCAGCTGTTCAAAGTAATGCACTTTTCCAATTCTTTGTCGAATAGATTTGTTTTTTATATACTCACAGGTGTACGAGAAACTTCTTATTGCCCACATGGCTTGACTACAGGGCCGTTGCAAGCAGCCTTCATCTCGGGAATTTTGCCTGAATTGCATAGCATTTCAACCACTAATTAATATTTTTCCCAAAATTGTTGGCGAGCGGCGGGGGGATGGGGAGAGGGTGTTGGAAAATACATTTTTACCTGCATGAATTTACCTGATAGTTACCTAAATTCTTAATTAACCAAAATTACCTGAAATTTAACTGAAATATATTATCCGCCAAAGAGAAAAATTACAAGGTAAGATTACTAATGGAATAGCGGTCGACGAAGCTCAGTACATTTTACACACAGAAATTTCCCGAACCCAGCAAGTAAGTAAATAAACAGATCTCTTCAACAAACGAATTGGAAAAGCGCATTGTCTTGCTGTGTATAAAGTTTTACTTCGAACAGCGGACAAACACTTAAAACGGCTTTCCTAAAATCTGGAAATTTAATTTTCATTCACGCCCATGGCCATGTTGTTTGTTATCGGATAATTAATTAAATGTATACTAATGTTGCATAATCTCGTTAAATGTGAATAACTATAGCTCTCTCAGCTAATTAAAATCACTTACAGGTTTCTAGTAGTGAACGATGTCACTAAACTGGGACCAAATCTCAACGAATGGCTGTCCAAAATCCAGACTACATTGAATCCTTGAAAAGACTGTGAACTAATTATTACATTTCCTTCAATTTGACTTTATCTTCGTCGGCAAATGTCAGGTAAAAATAATATCTTTGTCACAAACAATAAGGCAGTAATGAGAACGTACTAGAAATGGATAGTAATTTTAGATATAATCGTTGAAGCTGTTTTTGTAATTGCAGGCACGCCTTACCTTTTCCGGTGGGGTGTTATCAATCCGTATCGGTGGCGATAAAGCATCCAAACTTCGCCCTCCCACGGTATTATGACAAGCAATAGCTACTTTGTAGCTTTCGTCATGTTGCAATGTTAAATATTTGGCTTCTGCTTGGTTTTCACTCGTCGTAGGTTGAACGGGCGTTACTGTTACTTCGTTCACGGTTTTAATGCTAAATTCGCAACTTTCAATACCACTTTCTTCATCTTTAAATCCATTAAATTCTGCCGTCAGGCTACAGCGATCAATACAGGACGTATACGTTTTGTTTAATGATACCTTGCCCTCGGTTGGTGCTGTTAAATCAACTGTAACTCCTTCTGATGTAGTCAGGTTAAACAAGCCTGCTCTATTCCAGACTCGAACAGTCATAAAGTAAGTGTACTTGTGTTTCAGTTTGCAATCCAGGCAAGTTAGGTTCATTTCTTTCTCCAATGCACGATGCATGTCTTGTACTTTGCACCCTCCTTTAGTCGTACCAAAACAATATTCAGCATAATCTATACTACTTTCATCGTCAAATGCTCTCCAGTTTCCACTAAGATTATCTTTCGGACCTATGTGTCCAATTTCAGACCTTTCAAGTTTTACCTAAAAAAGAGAATTACATGAAACAAATATTTTCAATTTTTCAGTGATGATAAAACTTAGTTAGCCTGCGAGCAAGCTTCCAAGGTGAAATGAGAGCCTGCACTGATGAAATACAATTTTCAGTAGCTGCTCCGCAACGTTATGGAATGCCTATCCTTATATGGTATTTTTTACAACATTCGTGCAAACTAAATTTAGACCATACAGTTTATACTGTTTTTCAAAGTATAAGATATTCAAGCAAAAATTTAAATGTTTTAAATACTGTTTTCTCAAAACAGAACATTTCGTGCTTTGAGATAAGATGGCCAAGACCAATTTGATCAATTGATGTGTTTTTTATATGCATAGTGCTTCAGCAGTTGACATTATAGAGCTCAGCGGAAACATATATATTATAGCGTCTGACCAATGAGAATTTCCCGTCCCGATTTGAGACGCAGATATTCAAAATTGTATTTCATCAGTGCAGGCTCTCATTTCACTTTGAGAGCCTGCTCGCAGGCTAAAACTTGGTTTCCTTAATACAAGTCCCAGAACTTTTATGTTAATATACAACATTATTACATTCTATAGAATATAAAATTGCACAATGCTATCTATTTTCTAAGCTCAAATGTGCATGACGAAAGACTTACGAACATATCTTGCTGATATTTACAGCTATATAGCAAAGTGACCGGAAATGTAAGGATTTAATTCTCAAGGAAGGAATCGTGCATGCATTTTTCCCACAGCATAGCCTGCGAACTGGCATTTATAGGAGCCGCACCTGAATAAACGCCTGTTCCCATGCAACCCCCGGCAAGACAGTTTTTTCCGCTTATAACTGGCAATATATGTACCAACACTCTCATTTTATCCGTCTTTCATTTTATGCATCCTTAGAGCTAGACTTATAAAAATAAAGAAGTTGCAAGGGATCAAATAGGCTAACTCTCTCTCTCTCTCTCTCTCTCTCTCTCTCTCTCTCTCTCTCTCTCTCTCTCTCTCTCTCTCTCTCTCTCTCTCTCTCTCTCTCTCTCTCTCTCTCTCTCTCTATCTCTCTCTCTCTCTCTCTCTCTCTCTCTCTCTCTCTCTCTCTCTCTCTCTCTCTCTCTCTCTCTCTCTCATGGTGCCAGCATTCTACAAAAGTTGTAAAATCGTGCCGCTAGAGTTATTACTCATCAAGGTTATGATGTCAGATCCAATGAAATAAGGAAAACACTAAACTGGGAAACTCTTGCAGAAATGCAAGACACACACAAATTAACTATGATGTATAAGATAGTAAACAATTTGGCACCAAAGTATTTAAGAGACCATTTGGAAATGTCTGCCATAGATAATTTTTATACATTAAGAAATAGAAAATTATGCCTTGTACTACCAAAGCCTCAAACTTAATATTTAAAGAAGAGCTTTGCATTTTCAGGGGTAAAATTGTGGAATACTTTACCAGAAGATGTAAAATGCAGCAACAGTTTGAGTCAGTTTAAAAAAGGAGCAATAATCACATCATCAGCTTCTAGCTAAATATTGTATATGTATTCGGCTTTCTTGTAAAGCAGTGCTATGCACTGAAGAATTTCCGAATTTAAATAAATCTCTCTCTCTCTCTCTCTCTCTCTCTATATATATATATATATATATATATATATATATATATATATATATATATATATATATATATATATATATTTATATCACACTTGCGTCTGTTTTCTTTGTTCGTCCGAGGTTTATAACTAGCTTATAGACCTTGAATAAATGATTATATGAAACTTCTAGACAAAACGCGAGAATTTTTCATTAAAAATTTTTGAAAATGACAAAATATGTTGGAAAACCTCCGCAAGTGTGATATAAGTTAGTTATAAACCGAGTAAGTCGGTTTATAACTGATATATTGCCCCTCGGACGCTACGCGTCCTCGGGTCAATATATCAGTCAATAAACCTCCTACTCGGTTTATAACTCTTACATATATATATATATATATATATATATATATATATATATATATATATATATATATATATATATATATATATATATATATATATATATATATATATATATATATATATATATATATATATATATGCTGGCTGTGCGATCAGTAAGAGACATGTTTTCGTTTATTGTTGTAACTGATCTATTATATACAATTAAAAAAGATATTTAATGGTATATAATAGATCAGTTACAACAATAAACGAAAACATATATATATATATATATATATATATATATATATATATATGGTACAATCTGCAGACATGCATGTTTGGGCGTTCTACACCTCGTCAGTGCAGCTTGGTACACGTCCAGATACGTGAGACACTCGTATTTATATCCCATGAACTTGTTCTCACCAAGGCATGTGGTGTAACACGGTGACTCAACGCACCCAGACATGCGCAGAGCGTAATGGGGTCAGAGTGCTCAAACGACCACAAGGCAAGTGAGCTTTGCATTATCGCTAATAGACACCCATTATATTGAATGGTTTGGCATATAATCCGGCCGACTTTTTTACGAGTTTCGACTGCCACTGGGCAGTGTTTTTTCAATGCCACTGGGCAGTGTTTTTTCAATGCCACTGGGCAGTGTTTTTATGTTTATATTTGGGTCTTTTTCGCATTTTTGGGCAAAGAAAAGTGCATTTCTCAATCTCAATTTATTAAGTCGGCATACTAAGTACCAACATTTTGTGCTTGGTACTAATTCCATTAAAGTCTCTTAATTTTACCATTTTTTGTATCGGTAGGCTGGATTTAAGCTTCAAAAGTGTTTTCACTCCTCGGTGATAGTAAAAAGCTGCTCGTTCCTGCAGCCAATCATATTGCAAAAAATCAAAAAATATCATTAGGCAGCCTAAATAAAAAGATAAGAATAGATATTATGCATACATACCTCCTCAATTTCAGGTGGTGAAGTGTCAACTGTTATACCACTTGACGAGACACGTGACCATAAGCCAGCTTTATTCACAATTTGCAAAGTAATATAATACGTTGAACCAGAGGACATAGTAAGATTCTTTGCATTTATTTCTCGTGCTAATCCAACTGAAAAGAATTCGCGTATATCGTCCTGATTTGAACCAGATCCCACAGCTACTAAATACTCCATAATGTCACTTTCAGGATCGTAACCGTCGGTCCAACGGACGTAAAGACCACTTGTGGATGACTGATATTGATTTTCAAAGGATTGGGCATTTTTGTTGAGTATTGTACCCGCGTTAGGAGGGGAATCGTCGACAATAATACCGTTAGAAGATTTTGAAGATTTAAATCCGTCAACATTTTCACATGTTATAGTAGAAACGTACTTGAGGCCTGATATCAAGACGGTATTATGGATTATAGAGCCTCTCGCTTCGACATCCATCTTTAGTTTCATTTTAGACCCATTCTTTTCGACGTTTTCTTCACTGACGGTTAAAGTACATTTTTTAATACCAGACTCGGGGTCAGTAAATGCAGACCATGTCGTTGCTAAGGCAACGCTGGAATTGATGTAGTCTAAGTCAATATCAATTCCATCAAGTACAGTTCCTGTTGTGGGAGGGGTGAAGTCAATTTTAACAGCATTTGAACTAACAATTGTTTTCAAACCTGCTGCATTTGTTGCAATGACAATACCATAGAATGAATTATCTTGGGCTTCAGGAAGAAAACCGTGCACTGTGCCTTGAAAAACCAGGCCTGCATTGAAGGCAGCCGTTGAGCAAACATCCTTAATATAACCTAAACAATATGCATATCTGTCAATTCCTGTCTCGATATCAACAAAACCTTCCCACGATAGCGTATAGTCAACTTCATTCGTATTCTGGTTTACAATATGATGAGACACACTCACAATGCCAGCAGTCGGCGAAGTTATATCCACGATAAAGCCGTTTGAAGTGTTGTTGCTATTCCATCCGCTCAAAGTGGTTCCCCGGACAGTTATGTAATATTCAACACCAGGTTTTAATACAATATCGCTTTCTGATAACGGTAATGAAACTTCTGTATCAAGTCCTACATCTGTAAATTCCAGGATGTTGCTAACTTGTCCAAGTGTACCAACAGCCCATTCATACTTTATTATGGGATCCTTTGAATCGGCGTGGAATGCGCCCCATAATGCTTGAATATTTTTGCCATTAACGTCATACTTCCTGTCATGTGGGCCAATACCGTCAATCACGTATGACGGAATAGGCCATTGTTCAACCACCGACCAGCCATTGGAATACTGGTGACTAGTAATTCCTGCATGGTTCCTGCATTGGATTACATTAAAATATGAAAAATTTGTCCTAAGTTTAATCGGGCCAATCGCTTGTATGGTATGGCGTGTGTTATAAGTTACGTTAATTTTATGAAGCGTCTTCGTATACACTCTGACGGTTGTGTTCTCCTCTTTCCTTGCGATCATCCACTGACAAATGCGCAAGCCACTTTGAAGATCTCGTGCTCCGTACCACGTGACAGTTGGCGTCCAATTGGTATACGTCTTTTCCACGTCGGGATATTCCGTCTTTTTACCATCATAAACGCGTTGTATTTCAGGAGGAGTGGAATCGACTGTGACGCCATCCGAGACGAATATAGCAGACAAACCTGCTCCGTTTGTTACACGAAATATGGCAAAAGCTGTCATCCCAGAATCAATTTGGCAATCCGTACACACGAACGACTTATTTGGATGGATTGAAGTGAAAGATTTTATGAAGCAGTTAAATGGCGAACTACCTACGCAATACTCAACTTTCCTTATTCCACTTTCTAAGTCCTCGGTATTGTCCAAGCTAGCAGAAACACTGCTTTTTGACGACATATGGTCAATATCGTCCTGTAATAAACCATCTTTAACACTTCCGTTATTTCCATGAGGCGGACTGTGATCAAAATTGATTTCCTCCAACACCAGTGACGTCACAAGGCCAGCCATGTTATAAGCGTTGATGGTTACATAGTACCACTGGTTGTCTACTATGTCTAAAGCAGAAAAACTGGAATATGTACATAAGTTAGTTTTAGTAAACTTATATACATCGTCACTAGATACCTGACTTCCGATGCCAATTTCATAAAATTCCACGGGACTCTCGTGATCTTGGAAGGTTTCCCAAGAAACTTTTAATGAATGAGGATCCGGTAGAAAATAGCGCTTTGGTAATTTATTTTTATTTCCGGTGTAGACAGGTGGAGTATTATCGATAGTGAACGTGTTTGAAATCCGAAAGGACTCGAGGCCTGCGTAATTGATGGATTTTACAACAATTTTATAAGCTTTCCCCGGAAACAGAAGACCTGTATCTATCAATATTTCCAGTTCTGCATCAACAGAGCTTCGGATGTAGTTTAAAATCTTTCTGTTGTTATATACCACTGTAATATTGTACATTTCTATTCCACTTTCCGGATCTTCGAATCCTGACCAACTAACGTAAATATTTTCGTCTGGCCTAAAGTATTTTTTTTCGATCCCAGAAAGTGATTTGATCTGGATATTTCCAGCACGTGGTGGGCTGTAGTCAATAAGGAAAGGCCTTGAACAGCTACCTGAGAAAAGGTCCGCTCGATTTTTTCCAACTACAGTGACAAAATAATGAATCCCGGGGCGGATATTAAGTCCGCCTTTGGAGGTATTAGCATATGTCGCTAAACCGATATTTATAAGTTGTTGGACTTGAGTGCCATATTTCGAAGTCCCTATTGCCCACTTGTAATACCACATTTCACTTTCCAGTTCTTCAAAATTCGTCCATGTAACGTAAATATTTGACGCACTAGAAGAATAATATGTTTCAGTTTCTTTAGAGAAGTGCCATTCCGTTGGGGATAGCCTTGGTATAATTTCACGTGGAACTGGTGGTGATGAATCAATAAAGACGCCATTAGATAACAATTCTTTTAATACGCCAGCTCTGTTATAGACGCGAAGGAATACAGTATAATTATGGCCGTGTTTCAGATCTAGAACCTTTTTGGATGTAACGTGAGTCTGAAGACCAACGCTAACAAAATCTTGAACCAGATCCTTTTTTTCTTCCCCAATCCCCCATTCAAATCTCTCTACCCTGCTTTCCAAGTCCCAAATTCGTTCCCAATTTGCACTTAGCTGATCGACAGATGACTGATAGCGGATATCTGGTTCAAGTATCCCATCATGTACGATGCCAGTCGTTGGAGGAGTTGGGTCAATGAGGACACCATCAGAAGCCAAACACGACTTTAATCCGGCGTTATTTATACTACACAATATGATGTAATAAACTTCGTTGTTAAGACGCAGCCCAGTTATCGTACAGGACATATTGTGGCCAACGTCAGTGAAGTTCGTTACATCTGGCTGGGCAGCTCTGTTTCGGCTGACAGCGACCTCAAAGTTTTTTATTCCTGATTCATGGTCATGAATTCCGGTCCAGGTTGCAGATAACTGCGTTCTGCTAAACTGGTGATCTATATCATCATTACCCTGTCCATCGAATACCAGCGCATGCTTTAAAACAGGAGGGGAAACATCCAAAATAAACCCATCTGAAGAGGCTATATCGCTTTCAACTCCAGCTAAATTTTCTGCTTTGATTTTGACGCAGTATCTCTGACCATTCACGAGGTGCAGACCTTGTATTCCAAATGATGTCGCTGTAAGCGGTGTTACTGGTATGAACTGGTTATTAGTTACGTGATAATTACCTCTCGTACAGCTACCAATCGCAAAGTAATAAGCTCGTATTTTTACATTGGGCGTTTCAAAGCCTTGCCAAGTTGCATGAACTTCATATTTGTTTGTTAGATAATCTATATCTGTCAATAGATCCTGGCCGTCGTAGACTGTCCCACGTCCAGCTGTTTCTCCCATGAAGATTATTAAAGGTGATGTGATATCTGTATGGAGACCAGCGTTGTTAATACCGCGAATGGTTAGACGATATCCAGTGGTATTGACTAGTGACAGGAATCTAAAAATACATTGCAATAATCGTCATTACCTTAAATAAGTGACAATTGCATGGATATTTGAATTAGAATTATTCTTACATTTTATATATTTTATGACGATTTCAAAAAATATTTTGTAAAATATTTTATCATAACGTAAAATATTTCATCAAAACGAAAAAATCCCTGATATCCGCGTTTGAATGCCCTATCTCTTAACATTTTTTGCATTTAGTTTTGCATGCAGTAGCTACGTTTCACAACGCAGAAAGACTGAAAAGTATTGCAAATCGTCAATAAAATTAATAAAAATAAGCACATGCAGTAATGCTTTTACGCTTACCGAAACACTGCTCTTGTCGCAAGATCTATTCCTGGCACGTCTTCCCACTCTGTTGATTGTTCATGATTTTCGACAATACTCCATTGGTATTTCTTCATTCCGCTATGATCGTCCAGAAACTGAGGCCAAGATACTGTTACAGAGTCCTCACTTTGAATATAAACAACGGTTTCTTCATTTTCCTGTGCCGTTTCGCCTTCAACGACTATTTTTCCAGTATAAACTGGATGAGTTGTGTCGATGTACACTCCGTCTGATTTAATTTCTTTGTAATGTCCCACTCTATCGATTGCTCGTACGGTAATGTAATAGATGTTACCATCTAAAAGATTAATCCCTGGGATTGTAACATTTGTTTGCAGGCCTACAGTGGTCCATAATGTTAAATTGTTATTATTTTCATCTGTTAGTATGTACTTGTATTCTGCAAGTCCGCTACCGTGAACGCCGTCGCTAAATCCGTTCCAGTTAGCGTGGAACACTGTATTACCCGATTGATAATCAATGTCATTAGACAAACCATCATTAACAGTCCCATGTCGTGGAGCATCACGATCAATGAGCAAACAGTTTGAATAAGCCAGAGCTTTTAGTCCAGCAGCGTTTTCGGCTTCAACGATTCCACAATATTCTACCTCCGAGATAAGAACTAAATCTGGGACAACAAACTGATATATCATACCGACAGCTGTTAACCCCAATGACACAAAGCCGCCATTTTTTCTCTTAACACCGACATTGTAGTTGATAATGGGCGCATGGAGATCTCTGAATGGTTCCCAACTGATGGTGTAGCTTGACGTCCAGTCAGCATATTCCAAATCTGAGGAGATGATTGAGCCGTCAGCAACTGTTCCAGGAAGAGGTTTTGACGTATCCACAGTAACACCATTGCTCACTCTTTCGATGTACAATCCTGCTTTTGTGTATGCACGTACTTTTGTTCTAACTTTCATGCCGTCTGCGATTATTGCGATTGTTTTACTGAACGAAACGTTCAAGTATACATTTACAAAGTCTTGCACTTCAATTTGGTCTTTAGAAGACAGTGGTTCATACTCCATAGAGACTTCATACTTCTCAATACCGTAGATTGATTCAAAACCTCCCCATGATGTGCTAAACAACTTACTCGATTGATATTGAAGATCAGTATGGCCTAAACCATCATACACCCAACCACCAGTTGGCATACTTGTATCTACTGTCACCGCGTTACTGCACACTGGTAAGCCAAATTGTTGGCGAATATTCTTCCCCTGAACAACGACTTTATATGTTTCTGTGGGCCACAAATTAAGATCGGCGAGAATATGATTATTTGTACTGGAAGAAAGTGTCGCATTATTTTTGCCAAGGATGCAATTGTTTCCCGCTTTTATTAAAGACCACTTTACAGTTATCGAACCGCAAGTGCTAGAAAAGCCACTGAGTTGGAGATGTAATTTGTCTGCGCTCGACTGGAATGCTACTGGTCTCGCGAAGTTCGAATGCGTAAGACTTGCCTGACCTTCTTGAAGGTATATTGGGGTGACATGTGTTGGCGGGCATGTTTCTATTACACCATTACACCTATGAAAATATGAAATATGTTGAATAAGTATAGGATATTGCAGACACACTGCGTAACGAACCATAATTTTACCTGAATTTTGGCATGTTACTGTATATTCCTCCTCTTCTACCCTATGCACCAACGAATTTACAGTACTAGACTGCTCTCGGTTTTGTAAAAATGTAAATGAGTGTGTTCTGAATAAAGTTACTGTTGTCTAGTATATCTCCTTGGACAATACCTACCTTACCCGTTTGCTTCCTAAAAGATTACCAACCCACCCTGCTAACTAAAAAAGTACACTTTTGGGCTTGAGCCTGTTTTCCTGCCTACATCGACAGCAAATGCAGCATCGCTCGCCTTTTTTAACAGATGAAGTATAGAAATTCCATTCAACATGCATGAAGTCGGTCTATGTTTAAAATAATAGTAGTCGCTATGCCTATGGTAACGTGAAAACAATATGAGAAAGTAATATGAGATCATTTGTACCTATAAAAGAATCATTGATTTTCATTTCAATTTGGAATGTAGTTTTATGTTATGTGGCTTTCAATAGACTAAATTTAATGTAACATGTAACGGGAAAACGTTTCGATGGGGTGTGAGCGAGCGACAGGGTGTGAGCGAGTTTGTACTCGCGCATGCGCATAACGTCGAAGACCGTCCATCACATAATGGAGTTACTTTGCCCTTCGCTATGTTCTCAAACACCCGGGTGTAAATAGTCGGTCGTATTTAGTACCCTCGCCCCGGGCTTACGCCCGGAACGGCGCTTCGCGCCGTTGGCTCGGGGACTAAGATGTATATTGGAAAGATGATTTTCTCGTCACAAGAGCACTTTACAGACCATTTAAAGTCCGTAATGTAAACAAACGCTTTGTTTTCATTTTGAACTCAGTGCTACAGTTGTAAAATATGATTAGATATATATTATACTAAATTTTTAACGCTCTTCTGGTTCGCTATGCTTGTAAATGAATACAGACTAGAGATTCAATTCAAGAAAGTTCAAAAAATACGAAATATTAATAACATTCCAACGGTCGGGTCCCGACCATTGGAATGTAAGCCTGCGCAGAACGTATGCGCAAAACGGAGTTAGGTGAACTCCATGAAAATGTATGCTTGAGGCCACTTCTATCGGTACATCACGACCCTAAGCGTGTTTCATTTAAGTTTTGGGAGAAAGAACTATCACAAAAAGACGAAATGCCGTTCATGGCCATTGGCGGCCAATACCAACTGGAAAATCACAAGAGTGGCTTACACAAATGAATGTAGTGCATGCGTAATTCCTTGCCACTCTTTTACACTTGTTATTATTACAAATCTCTTCTTTAAAGATTTTCCTATTTAAGTTAATCTTAGGTATTTTCTATTCGTTTGTGGGAAATACCTACGATAAAATGTCAGTCCCTTTGAAATGTGTTTGTTGTCATTCTTTCGCTATATTCCCGCCATTTTGTTTATGCCATATCACGCCAAACTGTAACACTAAGGGACCTACCAAATTTGTTATGCTTTCTGGTCTCCCGTACACTACGCGTTTACTTAACTGCAGCGGCTTTGTCGCTGCGAACACGAAGACCTACACACTTACCTAGCTACTTACTTACCTATTATGTAACAGTCTATAGCAAATCCATACTAAACCCCTTGCCTAATCATCCACACTATTCAATATTCACCCATTCTCCTCCAATCTGTTTCCCTACTTGTAATCCGTATTAGAATACAGTAAGTGTAATTTATATCTAATGTATATCAGAATCACACATGCAACACATAGTTTATACTATTTTCTTACCTTTCTGGTTGATCGCAATAGTCAAAGGCTCGGCGGCATATTGTTCCGTTGCTCTTTATGATATTCCTACACGTTCCATCACCAACACATTGAGAACTCTGTATACAACTAGACTGCGGATAGGATATTTGACAGCTGTATTTGGTACCAACACAGTATCCATTTTGACAGGCTTCTTGCTTTGTACAGGCGTTATTGTCATCACAACGAACCGACGGTCGGTTGGACCATGCGAAAATTGATTTTGATGATTTGTCATAAATATCACACCATTGGCATTCATTACTTGGGTTGAGCTGTTGATGATCATAGTCTTTTCCTGAGGAAATATAAGTGGTCATTTTTAGGTAATTATCGATTTCATAAACCTAAAATATATGCTACAACATATTAGTCCACTTTCGGTTGCATGCCTATAGCTGTAAAAAGTTATGTATGGGTTGTTCTGTAGCTTTGGTACCTTATGAAATCAACAAAACTGTTTGACTTTTATATCGGCCTACCTGCTATTTTGCAAGTACATTTGTCTGGCAAATATCCATATCCTGAATGTAAACTACAGTCGCTGCCATTGCAGGACTGACAATCATTATTGCATGTAAAACTTATCCCTTCACATTGACCATGTTTGCATGTGTCTGATTTTGTACAACTATCTCCATCATCACAAGGAACGTCGTGCTTGTTTATCCATGTTGTACTACTTATTGTAGAAAGACACCACTAAAAAATAAAGCTCTTGCTTGAAAATTAAAATACAAGCGATAGATATTTATAGGCATTTAGGATGGCAAAGATGGTTCGTAAAGATGGTTCGTGAATATTTTAACGAATCATAGGTTAATTTACCTAAATAGGAATGGCGAAAGCACATGATATCTTCATGTGTTGTTCAAACTCATTAAATGAAATATAATAATTCTCTTATAAAACCGATTGGTGTACGTCCTTCAAATTTTTATGGAAACAGTTTAACTTAATTTGTAACATATCTTTATCTTTACTTTACCTGACATTGATTTCCGGGTTTTTCCGTAGTAGTGGTATAACATGTGTCGACACTGTTATAATTGATGACGCAATACCCAGATTTTATTCGGCATGCGTCGTTGTGATGTTCCTGGCACGATAAACAATTGAACGGCTGCCCCCGACAATCTCCGTTTGTACAACGGTCATTTCGAGTCATGACGTTATTGTCACTGCACGGAAGATTGTTATTCGCTGTCCATGTTGTAGGTTTGTTGCTGTTACATTCCTAAGAATAAATACATTGAACGATAAACAATGCACGGCCGTAGCTAAGGGAGAGAAATTACTACATTTGTCGCCACAATATTTTCATGGAAATTGACTTTTGCTATTTTTTCTTTAATTAATAACAGATACCCTGATTTCGATTATAGAAGTAACTGTTATGTTTGTACATCCATATGTATAGCATTTATTAGATTAACACTAATGTGAGTACAGCAACTCTTATATAGCTAAGTTTATACATAAATTAACATATAAAACAAAATCCCTCTTCTTAAATAAGAAAAGTATCTATACTAATCTATATACGTATAAGTTTTTTTTGTTTCTTTTTTTTTAAAGTCATTATTGTTCTAAAATTATCCAATTGATTTAAAGTTTAATTAATTGTCAAACAACTATTATCTAATGTTCATAACTAATAGTCTTTATACCTATTTGGTTTCCTAATTATTCTTCCACTTCTAGTCTTTAGTGGAGATGCACTAAATTGTTTATCAAGTGTTACCGGTAATTGTTCCTCTGATGTTTCTTCTGTAGATACTGCATTATCACCATCATTTGCTGGTTCTGTACCAACTGCATCCTCTTCATTGCTTTGACTAATGGGATCATCACAATCTTCTTTTCCAAATGGCTGTGAATTTCCTTCTTTCGTCTTGAGAATGTGTTTCCTGTTTCTTCTGTAAGTTCTTCCATCTGGACTTTGCACGATATATGACCTAGGTGTGTGTGCTTCACTAGTTACCACAGCTGGATTCCATATTTTTTCTTTCTTTATGTGAACTTGGTCGCCTTGTGATATTGTAGGAAGTTCTTTGGAGCCTCGGTCATAATACAGTTTCTGAAAGGTTTTCTTAGTTATTAACTTCGAACTCGCTAGATCTTCATCAATGACTTTATGTTGTAACAGGGACTTCGTTGTTGGAACAACAGATCGTAATCTTCTGCTCATCAGTAATTGTGCTGGTGAACCAATCTGATCAATGGTTGTATTTCGATATTCTAAAATACTAACGTAAGGATCTTTTCCATCTCAGTCTGCACCGATCTTTCAGCTAGACCTTTAGCTTGTGGATGGTATGGACTGGTCGTCGTGTGTTGAAAATTCCACTCTTGCAAAAACTTTTCAAATTCTTGTGATGTGTATTGCCGACCATTATCACTCTTTACTTCTCTTGGAATCCCGTGTCTGGCGAATATAGATTTCATGTAAGTAACCAAGGTGCTGCTCTTAATATCTGGCAACTTCGGGTGAAAAATAGTCCACAACTAATAGATAGTTTGAATTGTTCCAGTAGAACAAATCAGTGGCGACAGTATCCCATTGAATCGTGGGAGTTGGTTGAACAGTCATGGGCTCTTTCTGGTTTGATGGTCGATATTCTAGACAGGTAGGACCATTTCTTCTATCTGTGAATTCATCCCTGGTCAATACAGAACATCCCGTGCACTTTCTTGCTTTTTTCGGTTCCCATGAGTCCAGCATGAATCTTTCCCAACATTTCTGGTCGAAAGGAACTGGGGATGATTGTCTTTTCATTCTTCAAAAGAATTCCATCAATCTCTGAGATTTCCTCTCTACAATGCCAATAATCCCTAATTTTGACTGGTGGTTCTCGTTTCGTATCTGGCCACCCGCTCAAAACGGTCTTCTTCAGCTGCTGTAGTGATTCATCTTCTTCTGTGGCTATCCTAAGTCTCGCCATCATGTCATCTGTCGCAGGAAGATTGGACATCACCATGTGAACATGGCATGATATTTCTTTCTCTAACTCTGAATCTGTAGTGGGAAGTAGTGCCCGTGAAAGAGTGTCCGCTACCACAAGATCCTTGTCCGGCTTATGCTTGTAGGTAGGTAAAGTCATATTTCTGTAATCTTAACAACATCCTTTGCAATCTAAGAGGAGCATCATGTAAGGATTCCTTTAAAATGACCTCAAGTGGCTTATGGTCATTTTCTACAAGGACTTTCACTCCATAGGTTTACGCATTGAATCTTTCAAGAGCAAATAGAACAGAGAGCAGTTCTTTCTCAATCTGTGCGTATCTAGTTTCTGATTCAGTCATAGAACGAGACGCATAGGCAATTGGTTGTTCTTCCTGGATCAGAACTGCACCAAGTCCATTCTGCGAGGCATCACAACGCACTATAACCGGTATAGTTGGATAGAAAAGCTTTAGAACTGGTTGCTGGGTAAGAATTTCTTTAATCTCATCAAGAGCTTTTGTCTGCTCGTGCGACCAATAGAACTCGATATCTTTCTTCAGCAGTTCTCTGATTGGCGCTGTTATCGTTGCTAGGTTAGGTACACATTTTTCTAAGTAATTTACAGTTCCAAGTAATCTTTCAATCTCCTTCTTCGACGAGGATGTTGGCATATCTTGAATTGCTTTAATCTTCGACTCATCAGGTTTCACACCGTCTTTCGTAAGTTGTGACAAGAATACGATACTTCGTACACATTGAACTTCCACTTGTCTACATTTAAGGTGAGGTTTATTTCTTCACATCGTTGTAAGGTGGCTTCTAACCGTGCGTCGTGCTCTTGTTCATCAGATCCCCAAATGAGTATGTCATCAATCTCAGTGGCTACGCCTTCGATGTCATCAAGATGCTGCGAAATTCTCTTCTGGAAAACTTCCTGCGCAGATTTTATGCCCAAAGGCATTCTCGTGAAACAATATCTGCCAAATGGTGTGCTGAACGTCGTTAGAAGTTGGCTTTGCTCATCCAATGGTATCTGCCAATAACCATGTTGTGCATCTAGTTTGGAGAACACTTTCGCACCAGATACTCGAGACGCTATTTCCTTTTTCTTCAACCGTTGGTAATTGGAAATGTTCTCGTCTGATCGCTTCATTTAGATGCTTCGGGTCTAGGCATATTCGTAATTCGTAGTCTCCCCTTGCTTGGTTTCTCCATTATTGCAATTGAGTTGACCCAGTCAGTCGGTCTGTCCACTTTACGAATAACTCCTTGCTTCTCCATATCTTCTAACTCAAGCTTTAAACGATCTTTTATTGCTACAGGAACTTTCTCGCTGCATTTATTACAGGTGATACCTCGGGATCCAATTCAATGTGATATGGCTCTCTCAGGCACCCCAAACCTTTGAATACATCCGAGTATTTCTCCTTAAGATCTTCCTCTTTATTAGTGCGCATCACAACTTTGATTATGTCGAGTTCTTGCGACGCTTGCAAACCCAGTATAGGATACTGATCTGTTTCGCTCACGAAAAAATTCAGCAGTCTGTTCATACATTTGAACGCACATTTGCCAATAAGATTAAGCTTATCTCCAGTGTAACTTGTCAATGAGGTTCTTCATGCCTGAATTGGTTCTTTAGGCCCTTTCAATTCTCGGTACTTCGACATGGGAATTATGTTCGCTTGAGATCCTGTGTCAACTTTAAACTTGATCGGTGTTTCGTTAACCTCTAGAGTTATAAAACACTCGTCTTTCGTCAATTCTGTTTTAGTCAACTGTTCGGGTTTCTTATCAACCGTTCCAACAAATAGAATATCCGGCTCTGTATGCATTTGATCAATTCCATGGACTTTCCTTGAGCGACAACACTTCGCAAAGTGATTTAGTTTTCGGCATGCATGACAGACTTTGCCATATGCTGGACATTGCTTGCTTGGATGGTCTCGCCCGCATTTTCTACATTTTATTACTTCGCCCGAGCCGCCCGAGGATAACTCCTGTTTTTCTCGCCCAAATTTCGCTGGTTTGCTTTCATTATTCCCTGTTCTTGAACTTTTCTTCGCTGAACTTACTTTAAAACTATCATCTTTCGTTAAGTCTTTAAGTTGTTTGCGCGATTCTTCGTCTGCTTTACATATGCTAATGCATTGTCTAAAGTTAAATTGTCTTCTCGAAGCATTCGAGCTTGAAGTCTGTCCGCTTTTATGCCACAAATGATTCGATCCCGAATTAACTCTTCTTCTAGTTCTCCAAAACGACAGTTTTTCGCCAAAAGCCGTAGTTCTGTAACATATTGGTCAACTGATTCGGTTTCGCCTTGCACGCGTTTGTTAAATATGTATCGCTGCATTGTTGTATTCTGCTTCGGTATGCAATAATCTTCAAACTTTTGTATTAACGGTTTTATTTTGTCTACTTCGCTCGTCTCAAAATCAAATGTGTTGTGGATATCTCTGCCATCTTGACCAATGATATATAAGAAAACGCTGCATCTCTCTTTCTCAGATGCGTCTTTCATGCAGACATCCATGTATAAATTGACTGTTTGTATCCATCTTTTCCACCGCTCAGACAAATCACCATCGCTCGAAATGAATTGCAACTCAGGAGGTTGTCTTAATTTATCCATTTTGGAATAAACTCCTCCAAACTCTTCGATTTCTATTCAAAATCCCACACCGGACACCATGTTATGTTGGTACATCCATATTGTATAATATTTATTAGACTAACACCAATCTGAGTACAGCAACTCTTATATAGCTAAGTTTATACATAAATTAACATATAAAACAATAATACAACAGTAACACTCTTTTATTGTAGAACACTGTTTTGAAGTTGTTCAGGCATCTTTTACCCGTGCGAGAACTAAAAATTTCCCAAGACATCTTACTAAAGAAAACTATGGGATATATACGGGGAGTGGCAAATGGACGTTTCGCCTCTTATCTGCAGAATAGACGACAGTATGTTACAGTTGGTTATACAAACTGTGAGTAACAAATGATAACATGCGGTGTTCTTCAAGGATCAATAGTAGAACCACTGTTGGTCCTGCTCTACAGAATGATTTTATGTAGATGTGCAATTGATTTTGATCTATTTGAAGATGATTCAATTTATTTTGTACCAAAAATGAATGCCTAGAAATAAACTTAAATGCACAATTGAATTGAGTGAATGAATTGTTATATGTGCAAATAAATTATCTTTGAATATTGACAAATCCATTTTCGTTCTTTTTCATTCATCCCCCCCCCCCAAAAAAAAAAGCTAATAATAGCATGCAGCTCCTGCATGGTAGCCTTTCAAAAGAAAGGCATACGGGTTAGTACATTTTTGGACTATCGGGCGCATACTTCTCCAAAACAAAGAGTGGCCAAATATATGCCAAGTTCCAGTAATAATTCCAATATTCAATATTTTCATGTCCAGAAAAGCCGGTGTACTTCTTTCCTCCACAAGAGGGAAGAGCCTGAGAAAGATGTTGTCATTTGTGTCGCATCAGCGAATTACTGTACAATAGATTATGGCTGATTTCAATTTGAAAGGGTTTACTTTTTTTGGGACAACCTGCATTTTGTCATTAATATGTTCTATATCGTGAAATGTCTCAATCCCATTTTCATCTTTTCCTCGTTTCACTCATAACCGGTTTTGCCTTTGTTTGAACTTGAAGTGGTTTTTGATCAGATGAAACCTGCTCTGAAGTGTGCAGTATTGAAATTTCCTTAGAATAGGCCCTGTTTTAGACACCCGGTATGCTGTTATATTACCGAGACAATGATAATTCAGTGCCTTGTTTAACTATATATCTGCCCCCCAGGGAAAGAATCCCCCCCAGTAAAGCCATTTCTGCCCCCGAAGTGCGAAGCAGAATTGCTCATGATTGCTGTCAGAATTGCAGTTGCTTTACTTGATAATGAGATTATGCCCTTCCATAGCCTCCTCTACAGCCATCTTGTGTGTAATTCATATTGTTCTTCACCGAGTATTTCATAATAGCGATAGATTTCATGCAAAAATTCGATAAAATGCTGCTTCCAAGATGAATAGATTTAGTTTAGGTTTTTAACTGTTAAATACATGTATGCATCATCATAGCATGAATATTTCTTCTCAGATTTATTCTGTATCGTATGAAAAAGCAACGCAATTTTGAGAATGCGGAAATGGTGTCTCATAGAACCTAAAATGATTTAAATGCAACATTTCTGATCAAAATCACATTGGGATTTTCTACCCCCCCCCCCAGCATCACAGAGAGGAAATAAGGTGACACCGACCCATCCTCCTATTTTTCAAGGTGACTTTTCCAATTTATTTCATTCCGAGTAGAAATGTCTGGAAAAATTCATGTCTTCGATGTACTTTATAATCTTCGGAATTCTGCTAGATTTTACCCCCAAAATGCTTGAAATCGCAATTCAGGGACCCTAGATTTCAAAATTTTCCCGAGGGTGCATGCCGCCGGACCCTCCTAGACGGTCTCACGCCTTCCGTGAGGTTTGGTCCCCCAAAAAATTAAGGTCTGGCTACGTCACTGGTTATAGCTGTATGATTATAGCTACAAAGAGTTGAAGTTATTGTTTAAAGTAAAATATTGGTAAAGTTAATAAATTAAAGTTTTACAAAATCTCTCTTCAGACTCGCCCGTTCGCCAAACCTCGACGGCTCATATTTTTCGTTCTGCCTTTTTTCCCCCCCCCCCCCAGTGAAAATTCCTTAAAAAAGGCACTTTGATAATTATACATGTGAGTTACCTAAAGTTGCAAATTAGGTAAAAAAAAATGTACACCCTTTCAAATTCAAATTAACCGTAATCTGTTGTAATAATTTGACAGCCGTATAATTTCTTGAATTAATGATGCGTGAAAACACAAGGTCTTCTGCAAATGGGAATTTAGGACAACTTCTATTTGTATGAACAAATAAATAATACACAACTCAATAAAAAATGTTTAAAGTAAGCATTCAAGTCTGCATAAGATGTAAAATGGGCCAGCTTACTGCAGAGCAACGAATATTTAAAAGGTTATGGCTAATTTGAATTTAAAAGGGTGTACATTTTTCATACACCCTGAATTGCCGTCTAGATTTACATGTATGCTTCATTAATTTCTTCATGTTTAGCGAAAATCTTGGGAGAGAAACCACGTGCAATCTTTCTTACAGTGTGTCTACTGTAAGTGGGAACACTTAGAGAACACTAACCAATCGCATTGCAGAAGAAAAAGAAAAATCTAATCAAACTAAAGCTCGTCCAAGCAAAAGAAAGATTCAGGAAGCAATTAACTGCAGTATTTACTTTTACAAGTCTATTTTTACCGTTTGACATTCGTTAATTTGTTCAAATTGTTTTTGGTCTAATGCTGATTGGCTAATGCGCCGTTTGTTGATTTTTTCAATTTATGTTCTGCAATGTGATCTGTTAGTGTTCTCTAAGTGGCCCCGGGGCTTCGGTGGCGAAGTGGTTAGCGCACTTGCCTTTCACCTCTAAGGCCGCGGGTTCGAATCTCAATGAGGAATCCTCATTGTGACTGGAAACCAGTCCTAATGTGAAAAGAGTAAGTCAACGCTCTGCCGAAAGTCGTGGGTTTTCTCCGGGTACTCCGTGTTTCCTCCCACAGGAAAAGTTGACAGGGTGGGTTAGGCACATAAGGTCTGAAGGCAGATCATTAATGAGGTATGGACTAATAGCGGCTGCTCAAGCGCCATTTGTAAGCTCAAAGTGTACCTCGGTCTGCTTCACGTCAGTCCGTTTGATCTATCTAATCATAATGTAAAACTTCTGCAATTCAGTGTATGCTGCCATGGAAGTTCAAATATACTATCTTACTGTAGACGCACTGTAAATGATGTGTAGGTGACTAATCTATAGCATCTCATCCTAAGATGCAATACCGTTACGCGTCAGCAACCAGTGTCTGAATATCCTATACTTATTTCAGATTTATTCGTCATATTTTGTGATAATCTTTAGGAGAGTAAGGAAGCTTTTACCAACCAATGGCGCTATCTAATTTTGTTAATCAATATCTACATGGACCACATGCCAGCAGGCACGCATAAGAAATCGCACTTCTCACGACAAAGCAAGCCATAGTTGTAAAACTTGTGAAGTTTTTTCCATGCAACGTTAACGAA